GCACTAGAAGACAAAAAGAATGCAGATGTAATATATACAGACTTTGCAAAAGCCTTCGACAAGTGTGACCATGGCGTAATAGCGCACAAAATGCGTGCTAAAGGAATAACAGGAAAAGTCGGTCGATGGATCTATAATTTCCTCACTAACAGAACACAGAGAATAGTCAACAGAGTAAAGTCCGAGGCAGCTACGGTGAAAAGCTCTGTTCCACAAGGCACAGTACTCGCTCCCATCTTGTTCCTCATCCTCATATCCGACATAGACAAGGATGTCAGCCACAGCACCGTGTCTTCCTTTGCAGATGACACCCGAATCTGCATGACAGTGTCTTCCATTGCAGACACTGCAAGGCTCCAGGCGGACATCAACCAAATCTTTCAGTGGGCTGCAGAAAACAATATGAAGTTCAACGATGAGAAATTTCAATTACTCAGATATGGTAAACACGAGGAAATTAAATCTTCATCAGAGTACAAAACAAATTCTGGCCACAAAATAGAGCGAAACACCAACGTCAAAGACCTGGGAGTGATCATGTCGGAGGATCTCACCTTCAAGGACCATAACATTGTATCAATCGCATCTGCTAGAAAAATGACAGGATGGATAATGAGAACCTTCAAAACTAGGGATGCCAAGCCCATGATGACACTCTTCAGGTCACTTGTTCTATCTAGGCTGGAATATTGCTGCACACTAACAGCACCTTTCAAGGCAGGTGAAAATGCTGACCTAGAAAATGTACAGAGAACCTTCATGGCGCTCATAACGGAGATAAAACACCTCAATTACTGGGAGCGCTTGAGGTTCCTAAACCTGTATTCCCTGGAACGCAGGCGGAGAGATACATGATTATATACACCTGGAAAATCCTGAGGGACTAGTACCGAACTTGCACACGAAAATCACTCACTACGAGAGCAAAAGACTTGGCAGACGATGCAACATCCCCCCAATGAAAAGCAGGGGTGTCACTAGCACGTTAAGAGACCATACAATAAGTGTCAGGGGCCCGAGACTGTTCAACTGCCTCCCAGCATACATAAGGGGGATTACCAACAGACCCCTGGCAGTCTTCAAGCTGGCACTGGACAAGCAACTAAAGTCGGTTCCTGACCAGCCGGGCTGTGGCTCGTACGTTGGTTTGCGTGCAGCCAGCAGTAACAGCCTGGTTGATCAGGCTCTGATCCACCAGGAGGCCTGGTCACAGACCGGGCCGCGGGGGCGTTGACCCCCGGAACTCTCTCCAGGTAAACTTCAGGTAATACTATAATTAAATTGTCAACCTTTCATACATGGACGCATTTGAGTGCGTGGAGTATGGCAAACAGTTCAGTTTGTTGGATATTGTTTTATATATGAGAGTCGTCACTGTATAACAACAGCAGTTCTACCAGCTGCACCAGTGGCTTGGTGAACAGTACCATCAACATACATAGTTTGTGAAAGTGTGCTTTGTGATTAAAACATCGGTACAGCTTAAGGTATCCTGTCTCGCTTCAAGGCGAAGCTTTGATTATATAACTCACGAAATCGTAATGACACGATTGCAATTAAACCATACCAAGGGTAGGGTTTGATCCCGCGGTCAGAGAGTCTCAAAACTCCAGACCGTCGGGTTAGCCACTGGGCCAGCTAGCTTCAATAAGATTCATCCAACTAGGTTACAGTGGTGCCTATGCTAACCTTTCTATGGTGTAGAAATATACCTAGTTGGATGAATCTTATTGAAGCTAGCTGGCCCAGTGGCTAACCCGACGGGATCAAACCCCACCCGTGGTATGGTTTGATTATATACCTGGGGGTTGTTTCGGGGGTCAACACCCCCGCTGCCGGTCCATGACCATTTGTCGCGGTGGATCAGACCCTGATTAACCAGGCTCTTACTGCTGGCCTCACGCAAACTGACGTCCTAACTACAGCCCGGCTGGTCAGGTAATGACTAGGAACCTGTCCAGCTCTCTTTTGAAGACAGCCAGGGGGTCTATTGGTAATTCGCCCCTTCTGCTTACTGGGAGGCAGTCGAACAATCTTGGGCCCCCTGGCACTTCCTGTGTTGTCTCTTAGCGTATTCATAGCTTCCCTGCTTTTCAGTGGGGGAATGTTGCAGATTTAAGACTAGTCCCTCTAGGATTTTCCGAGTGTATATTATCATATATCTTTCTTGCGTGCATTCCAAGGAGAACAGATCAAGGGACTTCAACCGTTCCCAGTAATTTAGGTCCTTTATTGTCCTTACACGTGCAGTAAAAGTTCTCTGTATATTCTCCAGATCTTCAATTTCGCCTGCCTAAAGAAGATAAGTGATTTCAAGAGAATCATCATTGGCTTTGCATCCCTAGTTTTGAAAGTTCTCATATAAATCCTATTATTGTCGTAGCAGACATGGTAGAGACGTTGTTGTGATCTTTAAAAGAGAAATTCTCTGACATCACTCCCAAGTCCCTCACTTTACTTTTTCACTCTATTGTGTGGTTGGAATTTGTTTTATACTCCGATCCAGTTTTTATTTCCTCGAATTTTCCATAGCGGAGTAACTGAAATAATTGCAATTTGTCTTCATTGAACTTCATATTGTTTTCTGAGGCCCATTAAAGACTTGGTTAATGTCCTCTTGGAGATTTTCAGTGTCCTCAAAGAGTGATACTGCCATGCAAATTCTGGCTTAGTTAGCAAAGGAGGAAACGGTGCTGTGGTTTACACCTCTATGTCAGATATGAGGATGAGGAACAGCATGGGAGCGAGTACTGTGCCTTGTGGAACACTGTAGCTGCCACTGAGCTTACCCACTTTTCTTATTTTGTGTGCTATTACACTATGATCGCACTTATCGAAAAGGCTTTCGCAAAGTCTGTGATTACTACATCTACATTTTGTTTGGCCTCCAGTGCATCCAAGACAATATCATAGTTGGGGGAGGTGTGGAAATTATTTAATTTCCGAAGCTATAGTGCCTAATAGGTGTTTAATGTGTTGATGTGGGTCAGGAAATGTATTTGAAAATGGACTAGAATCAACAGGGAAGCTGTGCGCCTGCGCTGATGGGCGGGGGAGAGGTCGAGTTGGGGCATCACGGGCGGGAGTGTTTTGAATGGAGTTAAGAGGCTGGGAAAGCATGGGACCAGGAAATTGGCGTTCACGGCGGCCTCACTTCATAATAGGAAGTGTCGTAACTGTTCCTGGTGAAGAGTGAGGGAACGTGATTTACGGGACCACCATAATAAAGTGGTAAAATTAGTGAATAATGGTAGGACCGGTGGTGACTAGTGCGACGCCATGGAGTGTGTCCAGGGGAAAATACCTGTGATTTAATCATCACTCATCGGTCTCAGATCTTAATGGAATGACCTCTAATGTGCATAATAATTATGAGACATTAAATCATCGTGTGAATTGTAATGTAATCACTGATAATAACACTAAGTTAAGAGAATGTGTGAAGTGAAATAAGTCGCCTTACTCCGAATGAACACGTGTAGTCCTTGTGGTTCCTGTCCCGAGGATAGTGAAGTTTTTATGGAGTCCCGACTTCTAAACCGGGACAAACCAACGGATACCTCGGAGGAAATAAGGAGCATCAATCACCCACAGTTAAGTAACTCTTCTAGTTATAGCAGACTGATACTGGCCAGTTAGGTATGTTGTAATTGGATAGGTTGGGGGTGATCCAGCTGCATCAGGTGACCACCAGAGAATATCTGATAAGTGGTGGTATTATATACAAGTGTTTTTTCCTTTATGGATATATACATGTACAACCTACCCCCCCCCCTTCATTCAGTTAAACTAATATAATCTATGCAGTCCGCAATTAATTAGTAGCGCCGTACTTGTGGGTGCTATCCAATTCATACTGGTCTCGGATAGATATGGATAAGATTGTTAGGTCGAAGGAACCACCTGCAGGGACCAGGGGTGGTTAAGTTTTCTCACATGTCTACACGGGGTGACTACGGTAAACAATATGGTTGTTGTCTCTCAATAAGATTACTTGTATGTATATAATGTTGAGGTACATACAGGTAACCCCCTATAAATTTTTCCATAGGAGGGTTAGGAGAGATTATTCTTCGGAATGGGATAATTTCCAGTGGAGGGGGGAAATGTTGCTGATGCCTTGCTTGACAGATCATGTATCTGGTTCATGGGGAGGTTAGTACCTGTTTTTATGAGGCATCTGGAGGAGTGCTCACCAGTGCTGAAGAAAGTTTGGAGGGCGTCTTTGTAAGGTTTGAATAGGTTTACCTAACCTTATTAATCCCAGCGACGATCACTGGTGCTTGGAATATAAAGTACATTTTTTTTGTAATATTTTGTGACCTAATTCATGTCTTCATAAATAACTCATTACTGTTGTAACCAGATATAAACATGTTAATAGCTCATTACTACTGCAACTTGTTCATCCATCAAAACTTTGCGGTCCAGCTCCTGGACCCGTTGTGTGCATCTGTATTATTTTTTTGACTGTCGCCCACAGAATGGGGATGGAGTGCATAATAAAAATACTAAACTAACTTAAAACTTTTCATTAATATACTATTTGGATTTATAAAAAATTTTTATCAAGAGCCCAGGGTCTTTCCAATTCTGTAGAAACTATAATTCGTGTGGAAATAAAGTTTTTATTCATTTATTTATTTATCATTGGTAAAGCTTCTTATAGGTTATGAGCCCAGTGGGTTAATAAATCACTGGGGTACATAACACCAGTGATTAAATCCGAACGAAATCTTATCTTATCTTATCTTATCTAACTGGGTACATCACTCCAGAGAAGTGCTATACTTATGTCAAATCTGCAAGATGACTTGGCAAGCTGTCTGGTGAACTATTAGTTTTACCAATTTTTTCCCCACTTGGGTTATAAATATAACATAATACTTTTAACTAAAAGCAGAAAGGGCTATTTTTTTAAATGGGGGAAATGAGGAATTTTATATTATTGGTCGCTGATAGAGTGTATTATGATGTGTAAACATTTATATACGAGGTACCTGGAGGGTTGTTGAGGTGATTGGTGGTCGCTCTTATGACACTCACATCGATGTCAACTAATAAAGGCACCTATAAGTTTAAACCACTGGTGTTCCACCCGGTGAGACCTCGGGGGAACCTTAAAGATGGTAAGTGAGCCTCAGGTGGAGACAAGATGAATGGATCCTTCAAACACACGAGTAATTAGAACTTCCATCAGGAGAAAGTTGAAAATCCACATGCTTGTAGTGCTATTAGAGCAGTCGTCCAGATTGACTTATAATTGTAATGATTATTTTGATGACTTTTGTTAATATGTCGTATAAATGTAATTGATTAACATAATTTTTGTTAGGGTGAGACACATGGTACCTTCCCTGCTGGAAATACTAATTAGTCACAGTGCTTGATTTTATTGGGTTATTTGAGTAAACCCTTCAAGGGAGGTTCCTTGACGCTGGTGAGGGGCTCTTGATCTAGGAAATTGGATCTGTGCTCCAGTTCACTGAATTGAGCCCGAATACCTTCCATCCCCTCACATGCACTATAATCCTATGGGTTTAGCACTCCCCATGATTATAATTACATATATAATTATTTGAGTAGAACTCTACATAACATATATTGACGAAACCACCATAAAGGTTTAAGACTATGTGTGAGGTTTAAATAATACTTACTGATAATGTGTACATTTGTGTACCTTTGTAAGCTGATCCTCATTTTAATGTTAATGTAAATAACTCGGTTTACTATATTCCTAATATATCTCCTTTTGTTGTAACTAATTTTCACAGATGAGTTACTTATCTGTTTTAACTTTTAAGGTTTAAATAATAAGATATTACAAGGACCCAAATGGAAATAAGTCACTAACTTTCTTGGGTTATCCTAGGTAATTTACACTATGTATGATAATTGTACAGTGGTCCTTGACTTATGAGTGTAATTTGTTCCGTGACCAAGCTCTTAACTCAATTCCCCTCAGGGAGGGTTCCTTGATATTGGTGAGGGGCTCTTGATTTAGGGAATTGGATCTGTGCTCCAGTTCCCCGAATTAAGCCTGAATGCCTTCCACATTCCCCCCCAGGCGCTGTATAATCCTATGGGTTTAGTGCTTCCCCCTTGATTATAATAATAATAATAATCATAACTTAATTTGCTCCTATATCAAATCAGTTTTCCCCATTGAAATTAATTGAAATGCCATTAATCCTTGCCAGCCCCCAAAAACCCACCCCATTTTTGTTATGGGTTTTTAAATAAGAAAAATGTATTTATAAATAAATGGTTTTTGCCTTTTTCACCAGGTCCCAGCAATGTTTTAGAAATGCTGGAGTATATATGAAACTCCTTGAAGCACAGTGTAAGATGAGTGTCACTTCACTGCTGACAGTGCAGCAGTGGAGTGACATTTGATGATCATGCACTGCCTTGGCTTTATTTTTCACTCTTACACATGAACATGTCTGTCTGTCTGTGTTTCTGTCTGTTTTTCTATCTATTTGCCTATCTAGCTCTATGTTTATCTCTGTCTCTGCTTATCTGTCTGCCTGAGTTTGTCTTCCTGTCTCACTACTTGTGTCTCTGTCTCAGAGAGAGATCTGTTCATGAACCAACAGGTATTACTCATGATGCAGAGTGTAAGTGCGTGAAAATGTGTATTACTTGCCAGTCATACTTATTATGCTTTATATCTTCAAGCATAGTATAGCACTTTGTCTGGATTTTTTGGGTTATCCTAGTTAATTTACACTATATATAACTGTATTTGTGTGTACCTGTGAGACAGAGATACAGACAGAGAGACAGACAGATACAAAGATAGATACAGACAGACAGAAGGAGATAGAGACAGCCAGAGCAAATCAGCAAGCCAGCCAGCCACCAGCCAGCCACTTGGCCAGCCAGCTGGCCATCCAACCATAATATGTATGTTCCAATTCTGGAACATACATATTATGTATGTTCCAGAATTGTTTCTCTTTACTTAGGGCATATGTTATAGAACATTCTGGCAGGATGACATTACCAGTGGTATCAAAATTGAAAGGTTGTTATATATTGGTTATTATCGAGGTTTTTGATATTTCCTTGGTATCTCCTGCAAGTGGCGGTGTATCTGAAGCTCACTCGTAACTCGGATTTTGGCTCGCAACTCAAAGCAAAAAATCAACTGAGCGACGGCTCGTAACTCGGAAAACTCGTAAGTTGGGGTACTCGTAAGTCAAGGTACCACTGTATTTGTGTACCTATACCTAAATAAACTTATTTATGCAACTGAGTGATAATGCTGAACTATGCCTGTACTTGAAATAGATGCTTTAACGAGGCTCTAAACAATAAATATAAGAGTTAGATTGACTTTAAGTTTGAACATGAATTGGCTTTACAATATAACTATCATAGTGTGTGTTGTGTGTCGTGGCTCAGGTGGTAACACCTCTTGACTTCTGAATGACTTGGGTTGAATCCTATCACAAGTAGAAATGTTGGGCATGTTTCATTACATCTGTTGCTTCTGAGTGTTAGCAGACTGTTCTGGGTTGCTTCCTGGGAAAGAAGATCAAAGATATCCAGTGAAAATAGGCCAAATTGGCTCTTGTTAGGTTAACCTGGGCTCCTAATCCTCCAGCTTAATAATCTGGATAAGCCATCTCGTGTAATATAAAATACTTGGAAGAAGTGATTTCTACTGACATTGTCTTATGTATATTTAACCTTTACAGTATATTGTTTGAACCTTTTATTAATTTCTTGTGTAACTATAGTTTGAACCTGTGATGACATACCATATTAAGATGGTACACAATGCAGACATTGACAAGTAAGATACATGTCCAATACTTAGGTCAAATACAGAAATGATGACTGTTCTGCAGACAGTAGAAGTGGAGAGGTAGTCCTGAGGTGATCAGCCTCTCAACCTTGATAGATGGTCAGTCTCTTAGGTAAAATCTTGACTGACCATATTCTACCAAGACAAAGGGATTTATCCTCGCAGTTGCCTTACCACTTTTACCGTTTCCCACATTATCATCTTTGCATTTAACTGATACAGCTTACTGTGAAGGTAAAAAACTTCATCAATGAAGTTATTTATATATAAATGAAAATATATTTTTCTGTCTCATAAACATGCTAGATAACAGGGATATCTTGCTACTCCTACTTACACTTTCATCACACTTCACAGACACACACATGCATTATTTTTTTTTTTATTATCACACTGGCCGATTCCCACCAAGGCAGGGTGGCCCGAAAAAGAAAAACTTTCACCATCATTCACTCCATCACTGTCTTGCCAGAAGGGTGCTTTACACTACAGTTTTTAAACTGCAACATTAACACCCCTCCTTCAGAGTGCAGGCACTGTACTTCCCATCTCCAGGACTCAAGTCCGGCCTGCCGGTTTCCCTGAATCCCTTCATAAATGTTACTTTGCTCACACTCCAACAGCACGTCAAGTATTAAAAACCATTTGTCTCCATTCACTCCTATCAACAAAGCTCACGCATGCCTGCTGGAAGTCCAAGCCCCTCGCACACAAAACCTCCTTTACCCCCTCCCTCCAACCCTTCTAGGCCGACCCCTACCCCGCCTTCCTTCCACTACAGACTGATACACTCTTGAAGTTATTCTGTTTCGCTCCATTCTCTCTACATGTCCGAACCACCTCAACAACCCTTCCTCAGCCCTCTGGACAACAGTTTTGGTAATCCCGCACCTCCTCCTAACTTCCAAACTACGAATTCTCTGCATTATATTCCCCACCACACATTGCCCTCAGACATGACATCTCCACTGCCTCCAGCCTTCTCCTCGCTGCAACATTCATCACCCATGCTTCACACCCATATAAGAGCGTTGGTAAAACTATACTCTCATACATTCCCCTCTTTGCCTCCAAGGACAAAGTTCTCTGTCTCCACAGACTCCTAAGTGCACCACTCACTCTTTTTCCCTCATCAATTCTATGATTCACCTCATCTTTCATAGACCCATCCGCTGACACGTCCACTCCCAAATATCTGAATACGTTCACCTCCTCCATACTCTCTCCCTCCAATCTGATATTCAATCTTTCATCACCTAATCTTTTTGTTATCCTCATAACCTTACTCTTTCCTGTATTCACCTTTAATTTTCTTCTTTTGCACACCCTACCAAATTCATCCACCAATCTCTGCAGCTTCTCTTCAGAATCTCCCAAGAGCACAGTGTCATCAGCAAAGAGCAGCTGTGACAACTCCCACCCTGTGTGTGATTCTTTATCTTTTAACTCCACGCCTCTTGCCAAGACCCTCGCATTTACTTCTCTTACAACCCCATCTATAAATATATTAAACAACCACGGTGACATCACACATCCTTGTCTAAGGCCTACTTTTACTGGGAAAAAATTTCCCTCTTTTCTACATACTCTAACTTGAGCCTCACTATCCTCGTAAAAACTCTTCACTGCTTTCAATAACCTACCTCCTACACCATACACTTGCAACATCTGCCACATTGCCCCCCTATCCACCCTGTCATACGCCTTTTCCAAATCCATAAATGCCACAAAGACCTCTTTAGCCTTATCTAAATACTGTTCACTTATATGTTTCACTGTAAACACCTGGTCCACACACCCCCTACCTTTCCTAAAGCCTCCTTGTTCATCTGCTATCCTATTCTCCATCTTACTCTTAATTCTTTCAATTATAACTCTACCATACACTTTACCAGGTACACTCAACAGACTTATCCCCCTATAATTTTTGCACTCTCTTTTATCCCCTTTGCCTTTATACAAAGGAACTATGCATGCTCTCTGCCAATCCCTAGGTACCTTACCCTCTTCCATACATTTATTAAATAATTGCACCAACCACTCCAAAACTATATCCCCACCTGCTTTTAACATTTCTATCTTTATCCCATCAATCCCGGCTGCCTTACCCCCTTTCATGCATATATATATATATACATACATCTAGGTTTTTCTTTTTCGGGCCACCCTGCCTTGGTGGGAATCGGCCGGTGTGATAATAAAAAAAAATAAATAAAAAAATATCTAGGTTTTTCTCCTTTTTCTAAATAGCTCTTGTTCTTATTTATTTCTTCTATTGTCCATTGGGAAGTGGAAAAGAATCTTTCCTCTGTAAGCCATGCGTGTCGTATGAGGCGACTAAAATGCCGGGAGAGATGGGCTAGTAACCCCTTCTCCTGTAGACATTTACTAAAAAAGAGAAGAAAAACTTTATAAAACTGGGATGCTTGAATGTGCGTGGATGTAGTGCGGATGATAAGAAACAGATGATTGCTGATGTTATGAATGAAAAGAAGTTGGATGTCCTGGCCCTAAGTGAAACAAAGCTGAAGGGGGTAGGTGAGTTTCAGTGGGGGGAAATAAATGGGATCAAATCTGGAGTATCTGAGAGAGTTAGAGCTAAGGAAGGGGTAGCAGTAATGTTGAAGGATCAGTTATGGAAGGAGAAAAGAGAATAGGAATGTGTAAATTCAAGGATTATGTGGATTAAAGTAAAGGTTGGATGTGAAAAGTGGGTCATAATAAGCATGTATGCACCTGGAGAAGAGAGGAATGTAGAGGAGAGAGAGAGAGATTTTGGGAGATGTTTAAGTGAATGTATAGAGAACCTTTGAACCAAGTGAGAGAGCAATTGTGGTAGGGGACCTGAATGCTAAAGTAGGAGAAACTTTTAGAGAGGGTGTGGTAGGTAAGTTTGGGGTGCCAGGTGTAAATGATAATGGGAGCCCTTTGATTGAACCTTGTATAGAAAGGGGTTTAGTTATAGGTAATGCATATTTTAAGAAAAAGAGGATAAATAAGCATACAAGATATGATGTAGGGCGAAATGACAGTAGTTTGTTGGATTATGTATTGGTAGATAAAAGACTGTTGAGTAGACTTCAGGATGCACATGTTTATAGAGGGGCCACAGATATATCATATTACTTTTTAGTTGTAGCTACACTGAGAGTAAAAGGTATAGGGATACAAGGAGAATAGAAGCATCAGAGAAGAGAGAGGTGAAGGTTTATAAACTAAAAGAGGAGGCAGTTAGGGTAAGATATAAACAGCTATTGGAGGATAGATGGGCTAATGAGAGCATAGGCAATGGGGTCGAAGAGGTATGGGGTAGGTTTAAAAATGTAGTGTTAGAGTGTTCAACAGAAGTTTGTGGTTACAGGAAAGTGGGTGCGGGAGGGAAGAGGAGCGATTGGTGGAATGATGATGTAAAGAGAGTAGTAAGGGAGAAAAAGTTAGCATATGAGAAGTTTTTACAAAGTAGAAGTGATGCAAGGAGGGAAGAATATATGGAGAAAAAGAGAGAGGTTAAGAGAGTGGTGAAGCAATGTAAAAAGAGAGCAAATGAGAGAGTGGGTGAGATGTTATCAACAAATTTTGTTGAAAATAAGAAAAAGTTTTGGAGTGAGATTAACAAGTTAAGGAAGCCTAGAGAACAAATGGATTTGTCAGTTAAAAATAGGAGAGGAGAGTTATTAAATGGAGAGTTAGAGGTATTGGGGAAGATGGAGGGAATATTTTGAGGAATTGTTAAATGTTGATGAAGATAGGAAAGCTGTGATTTTGTGTATAGGGCAAGGAGGAATAACATCTTGTAGGAGGAGGAAGAGCCAGTTGTGAGTGTGGGGGAAGTTCGTGAGGCAGTAGGTAAAATGAAAGGGGGTAAGGCAGCTGGGATTGATGGATAAAGATAAAAATGTTAAAAGCAGGTGGGGGATATAGTTTTGGAGTGGTTAGTGCAATTATTTAATAAATGTATGGAAGAGGGTAAGGTACCTAGAGATTGGCAGAGAGCATGCATAGTTCCTTTGTATAAAGGCAAAGGGGACAAAAGAGAGTGCAAAAATTATAGGGGGATAAGTCTGTTGAGTATACCTGGTAAAGTGTATGGTAGAGTTATTATTGAAAGAATTAAGAGTAAGATGGAGAATAGGATAGCAGATGAACGAGGAGGCTTTAGGAAAGGTAGGGGGGTGTGTGGACCAGGTGTTTACAGTGAAACATATAAGTGAACAGTATTTAGATAAGGCTAAAGAGGTTTTTGTGGCATTTATGGATTTGGAAAAGGCATATGACAGGGTGGATAGGGGGGCAATGTGGCAGATGTTGCAGGTGTATGGTGTAGGAGGTAGGTTACTGAAAGCAGTGAAGAGTTTTTATGAGGATAGTGAGGCTCAAGTTAGAGTATGTAGGAAAGAGAGAGATTATTTCCCAGTAAAAGTAGGCCTTAGACAAATATGTGTGATGTCACCATGGTTATTTAATATATTTGTAGATGGGGTTGTAAGAGAAGTAAATGTGAGGGTCTTGGCAAGAGGCGTGGAGTTAAAAGATAAAGAATCACACATAAAGTGGGAGTTGTCACAGTTGCTCTTTGCTGATGACACTTTGCTCTTGGGAGATTCTGAAGAGAAGTTGCAGAGGTTGGTGGATGAATTTGGTAGGGTATGCAAAAGAAGAAAATTAAAAGTGAATACAGGAAAGAGTAAGGTTATGAGGATAACAAAAAGATTAGGTGATGAAAGACTGGATATCAGATTGGAGGGAGAGAGTATGGAGGAGGTGAATGTATTCAAATATTTGGGAGTGGACGTGTCAGCGGATGGGTCTATGAAAGATGAGGTGAATCATTGAATTGATGAGGGGAAAAGGTTGAGCGGTGCACTTAGGAGTCTGTGGAGACAAAGAACTTTGTCCTTGGAGGCAAAGAGGGGAATGTATGAGAGTATAGTTTTACCAACGCTCTTATATGGGTGTGAAGCATGGGTGATGAATGTTGCAGCGAGGAGAAGGCTGGAGGCAGTGGAGATGTCATGTCTGAGGGCAATGTGTGGTGTGAATATAATGGAGAGAATTCGTAGTTTGGAAGTTAGGAGGAGGTGCGGGATTACCAAAACTGTTGTCCAGAGGGCTGAGGAAGGGTTGTTGAGGTGGTTCGGACATGTAGAGAGAATGGGGCGAAACAGAATGACTTTAAGAGTGTACCAGTCTGTAGTTGAAGGAAGGCGGGGTAGGGGTCGGCCTAGGAAAGGTTGGAAGGAGGGGGTAAAGGAGGTTTTGTGTGCGAGGGGCTTGGACTTCCAGCGGGCATGCGTGAGCATGTTTGATAGGAGTGAATGGAGACAAATGGTTTTTAATACTTGACGTGCTGTTGGAGTGTGAGCAAAGTAACATTTATGAAGGGATTCAGGGAAACCGGCAGGCTGGACTTGAGTCCTGGAGATGGGAAGTACATTATTATTATTATAATCAAGGGGGAAGCACTAAACCCGGAGGATTATACAGCACCTGGGGGGGGGGATGTGGAAGGCATTCAGGCTTAATTCGGGGAACTGGAGCACAGATCCAATACAGTGCCTGCACTCTGAAGGAGGGGTGTTAATGTTGCAGTTTAAAAACTGTAGTGTAAAGCACCCTTCTGGCAAGACAGTGATGGAGTGAATGATGGTGAAAGTTTTTCTTTTTCGGGCCACCCTGGCTTGGTGGGAATCGGCCAGTGTGTTAATAAAAAAAAAATAATAAATAATATTTGTATGATCTTGCATACCAAAATTCTCTTATTTTGATTTGTGTTTTGTTAGCACAGCCATAAACATTAAGTCTTTTCTCTTTCTACAGTTTCCCTTAATATCATCAAATTACTGTATTTGCTTTCTTCTATTTTGTATCATGATTAATGCTAACCCTGGCTCTAATTTCTTTATTTAATGAAAATAGTATATTATTTTTCATTATTTTGGCATAGCTATCTTTTATTTTAACTTTGTATTTCTCTAGTCTTTTTATCGCTTCTATTATTTTTTCCTTGATGTCATCTGTCATATAAGCAAGCTGTAATTGTTTGTCTAGTTTTGTCTTTTTCTTTGTTATCATTGCAAAACTTGTTTAGTACTCTGTCTTTTATCTCTTTTGTATCAGCAGTAGTGAAGAAAAGAAAGATTTTCTTCTATTTTATTTCTGTTAGCTGAAATTTATTTTTTCCTTGGCCTACTTTGTCATCTTTTCCATAAGTTATTGTTGAAAAAATTAAAATAAAATCATAGAGTATTTTGTTTTAATGTTTATGTAAATATAAACATAGCAAAATATGTTAAGTATTTTTCCTGCATTTATTTGGTCTTGTATATTAGTACAGACTATGTATATGTTAAGGTAATTAGTAGTGCTTTGTAGAAGCTGTATTAAAGTACATTACTGCAGCATAATAATGCTTTATGGTTTATAATTGCTGGCCTTAAAATGATCCTGGGAAGGATCTAGCAGATGGCAGGATGACTCGATGGCTAACACTGTGTCTACCAAACAGGTACACCCTTACCAATGCCAAGAAGTGGTCATCGCATTGTTTGCCATGGATTGTCTTTCTATTCATTTGGTGGTTACAATCCCAAGATATCTACCAATGAGTACTTGGATGACACCTGGCAAAGAACTCATCCATTGTTCCAAGAGGTTAGCACAAGAGGTTTTTTCTGACTTTAACTATGTGCAATGTATAGATTCAAAATTAGAGTAATAACATAGGCGCTATCAAAAAGTTATGTATTTGGTATATCCCTGTTTTATAAATTTCAACAAAATATGGAGCCATACTTTAATTACAATAGGCCAAAAAAAGCATATTTATTTTTTTATGGCTACTTTAAAACTGTCAAGTGAAATTATTTAGTTTTTTTGGTAATACAGTACATGTAGGACTCGTGTTATTTGTCTTAAGGAAAGCAGTGCCATATTTGATGGAATTAGCAAATATTTAGCTTTCCTCAGAATTTTGGTAGAGGGTTTTGGGAGATAATTCATGCAGCTATGACCTCACAGGCAAAAAATATGGGATGAGTAAGCTCATGCACGGTATATCACATACAATAATGTTGTGTGTGGTTGCACTTGTGCATGTGTGAGTGAGAAAGAGAGGTTACTTTGTGTTTACATGTTTGTTTTTTAAAGGAATGGTGTTATGCTCGTGGTATTTTCAGTGTTTAATCTATCCTATTTTTAAAAAGTTGCTAGGCTTGAAGCACTGGCTACCTTCCATTTTTCTTGGTTTGAAATTGAAGCTTCATTAGCTCTCAGTTGATATAAAGAAATCGTTATTATTTACATATTTTTGTATGCAGTTAGTCTTTTTTTTTTTCCTGTTACCAGATTCCTTTCAGTAGTGGATAGTGTTGTGGTCTTCAGATTTGCCTTTGACTACAGTGGCTCGGGCTTTTCTTGAAATGGTAAATGTGGTGCTGTCCCTGTGTATTTTTGGTGTATAGTCCCATATAAAATACTTATTTCCATTAGCCTGAAAGTTGAATCTGTATCTATATCTGTGACTTTTTAGCAAGCAGCAAGCTTCTTCTGTCAGGGTTGGTCTCACCTGAATCGAGCTGTTGGTCACACATTGCTCCATATTGTATTAGTGCTTTCATATACAGCAATTATGGCCCAGATTTGTAGTTTGTGGATGTAGGGGTAGCATAGGGTAAGTGGAGTAGCACTTACTCTATGCTACCCCTACCCCTGCAGTGGAGAGGTGTACTTGTCTAGTGCATAGGAAGCACGGGAGGGTATGCACACACTTAGTTCTGTAGTTGCTTCACAATCCTGGTGTTGACATGTATATACCTTTCTATTTGTCTTGGGTTTATTAGTATACTGTACTGAATTGATGTCTATGCTGTATTTATGTATACAGCAGTGTTCCATATAACACATTGGTTATACTTCCTGGAAACCAGCATTTTACCTGAAATCATGTTACCTTCACTGAAGAACATACAAACCGTATAACATTAAAGGTATGTGCAAGATTAGCAAATCACAGAAAAGGATTTAGGAGCCTGAATAACAAATCTTTCAGAGTCTTATATGTTGGGTCAATCATTGAGTATGTGGCCCAAACATTGAGCCTGTACCTCTTCAAGCATGTGAAGAAACTTTAAAGGGTCCAGAGGTTAGGGATTATACGGACTTCAGTAAGGTTTTCAACAGAGTTCCACATCAGAGACTTTTGAGGAAACATGGAATAGGAGAAATTTTTTCCTGGGTAGAGGCATGGTTGACAAATGGGCAGCAAAGAGTTTGCATAAATGGGAAGAAATCAGAATGGGGGTACGTCACAAGCTGTGTTCCACAGAGGTCAGTGTTGGGCCCCTTGTTGTTCACAATTTACATAAACGATATAGATGAGGGAATAAATAGCGGCATAAGCAAATTTGCTGATGACACCAAAATAGGCCATCTAATTCATTCTAATGAGGACATTAGTACACTCCAGGATGATTTGAATAGACTGATGCAGTGGTCGGAGAAGTGGCAGATGCGGTTTAATATAGACAAATGCAAAGTGCTAAATGTTGGACAGGACAATAGCCATATCACTTATAAACTGAATAGTGTAGATCTTAATACTACTGATTGCGAAAAGGATTTAGGAGTTCTGGTTAGCAGTAATCTGAAACAAAGACAACAGTGCATAAGTGTTTGCAGTAAAGCTAACAGAATCCTTGGCTTCATATCAAGAAGTATAAATAATAGAAGTTCTCAAGTTGTTCTTCAACTCTATATATCCTTGGTTAGGCCTCATTTAGATTATGCTGCACAGTTCTGGTCACCATATTACAGAATCGATATAAATGCACTGGAAAACCTACAGAGAAGGGAGACAAAGTTGATCCTATGTATCAGAAATCTTCCCTATGAGGATAGACTGAGGGCCCTGAATCTGCACTCTCTAGAAAGGCTTAGAATTAGGGGGGATATGATTGAGGTGTATAAATGGAAAACGGGAATAAATAAAGGGGATGTAAATAACGTGCTGAAAATATCCAGCCAAGACAGGACTTGTAGCAATGGTTTCAAGTTGGAAAAGTTCAGATTCAGGAAGGACATAGAAAGCACTGGTTTGGTAATAGAGTTGTGGATAAGTGGAACAAACTCCTGAGTACAGTTATAGAGGCTAAAACGTTGTGTAGTTTTAAAAATAGGTTGGATAAATACATAAGTGAGTGTGAGTTGGACCTGACTAGCTTGGGCTACCAGGTCTGGTGGCATGGACCTGCTTTGCATGGGTCAGTAGGCCTGTTGTAGTGTTTCTTCTTTCTTATGTTCTTATAATAGACTGTTTGAATATAGAGGACCTGGAACAAGGGAATGCATGTAGAAGCTGCAGATAAAGATGAGCCATAAGTATATAAGGAATTATATTGCTTTAGTCTCAGGGTGGCTGCAGAGTGGAATAACTTGGATGAGGCAGTGGAGGATATGATAAAGCTTAGAGGCCAGAAATCAGCGATGTTGATCAAGGTGGCCTAGGAAACAGATCCATGAGCTGAGTCTTGACACTTAATAAATGAAACAAGGAGTAATGGAAAATAGGGTTACATTCTTGAGACTTTAAAAAAAAGCCAAATAAGGTTACATAAATATGTAATTTATTTCCTATCCTGAATTCTGGTTGGTGGTACCTGTTAATCTTGAAATGTGTGGAGAATGTTGGTGTGGCTCTCCTGGGCTGAAGTGGATGGCTGTTGTTCTTACAGAGTAAGGCATCATATGTACAGTCATGCATCACTGCAAAGCTTATAAAAACTAACACTTCAGTACCATCAGAGGATCAGTGTTAGCACCTCTAGCATCACTAGTATTTCTCTGGAGTGTCATGATTAATATCCAGATATGAGATAATGCCTCAAAAATATTGCAGTCATTTGATAAACATGTTAAGGTATCATAGGTGCAGTTGTGTACCACTATAAAGCGTATAAATTAACACATTCTTTAATACTATCAAAGATTCCAGTTTATTCTTGGTACCTTCATGGTTAATACCCAGAAATGAGATGGGTGATGGAAAGATTGAAAATTGATTGAATAACACATGACTGATAATAGTATAGGAAATAACAAAAAAAGGCACAGTATATGCAGAGTGAACTGATGCTTATTTTTTTCAAAAATTTATGGCAAGTTCTTCCCATGCAGTGTGAACTTGGGTATATTAGTTGTGTTTTATTAAAACAGTACTGTGTGGATGAATGCTGCTTGGGACTGTACCATATACATATTTATATATTTTTCCAGCTTTGGCAGTTCAATACTGTGAGCAGTACATGGACGAGAATTGAGGGTACGGGTAGAATGCCTGAAGAATTAGCATCTCATTCAGCTGTCCAACTTGGGCCTAATATGCTTGTGTTTGGAGGAACAGCTATGCCGTTTGGGGATTCTTCGTCAGATTCGGTACGTAAAATATTCTATAAAATGTTAACTATACTCCTTAGTTGCTTTACTGATGTTCGTAGTGGTCTTATTCCAACATTCGTCTATTAATCTGTACTCGCCTATTTATGGTTGCAGGGGTCAAGTCATAGCTCCTGGCCCTGCCTCTTCACTGACTGCTACTAGGTCCTCTCTCCCTGCTCCATGAGCTTTATCAAACCTCATCTTAAAACTATGTATGGTTCCTGCCTCCACTACGTCACTTTCTAGGTTATTCCACTTCCTGACAACTCTGTGACTGAAGAAATACTTCCTAACATCCCTTTGACTTCCGAATGTGACCCCTTGTTTCTGTGTCCCATCTCTGGAAGATCCCATCTTTGTCCACCTTGTCAATTCCTCGCAGTATTTTATATGTTGTTAAAAATGTCTTCCCTGACCCTCCTGTCCTCCAGTGTTGTCAGGCTAATTTTCCTTAACCTTTCTTCTTAGGAAAATCCCCTTTGTTCTGGGACTAGTCTTGTTGCAAACCTTTGCACATTCTCTAATTTCTTGATGTGCTTGACCAGGTGTGGATTCCAAACTGCTGTTGCATACTCCAATATGGGCCTCACGTATATGGTATACAGAGTCCTGAACGATTCCTTACTGAGGTATCGGAACGCTATTCTTATGTTTGCCAGACGCCGTATGCTGCAGTAGCTGTCTGTGTTCACGTGCGTGCATGTGTGTATGTGTACTCCATCTATACATACTCACCTATATTTGATTGCAGGGGTTGAGTTACAGCTCTTGGCTCTGCTTCTCTGGTTGCTACTAGGTTCACTTTCTTCCAGCTATAAGAGCCTTGTCATACCTCTTCTTAACCCTTTCACTGGCTGTCACACAGAACTATGTCACTGAGGCCAGGTCCCTCACATAGTTCTATGTCATGAGCTCATCCCACTCAGATAATCTGTCAGTGGTAAATTTTGACCTAGACATGAGGGAATGGGTCTGCACAGTGAAAGTGCACATTCACAAAAAAAATCAGCAGGATACTTTTTGAATGATGGGAAGAGCATGAGAAAAGCAAAAAACTTACCAAGTGTTTGGTTTAAAATAGCAAGTTTCAGGTGTTTTCTAGAATGGTTTTCATGGTTTTGTTGGCCATTTCTTGGATCATTTGATGGCATGGAAGACACACTACTGAGATGGAGACAATTTTGGTTAGTTTCAGGGGCAGAAGTAGCTTGAAACTGGACTCAAGATAATGGAAATAATCTATTTTTGCTGATTTTCCTGAGAACAGGCAAGGCTCCATACACCTCCATGTCTGTTTAATGGGTTTTTAACCCTTTCAGGGTTTCGGCCGTACTAGTACGGCTTACGCGCCAGGGTTTATGACGTACTAGTATGAATAAATTCTAGCGCCTTCAAATCTCGCGGGAAAAGGCTGGTAGGCCTAGATGTGAGAGAATAGGTCTGTGTAGTGGGTATACGCAGTAGAAAAAAAATCTGGGACCCAGTGGCGCATTGTGGGAATGCCATATTAGTACACCTTGTCCACCATGCCTTGCGGTAAGAAGCTCCTCACTCCTTGGCGAATTGGGACACTTTTGTTCCCCAGTGACAGTTCTAATACAGATGGAAGTGCCAGTGAAGATGAGCTTCAAGGTTTTGGTGAGGTTTTGACCGAAACTAATGACCATAATATCGGTAATAGTGAGGAAAACCCAGACGACCCTCAGCCTTCCACCTCTGGTGCTGGGCCGTCTTGTTCACGCTCAGTTGTACCAGAATCAAAGAGGAAACTCCTATTTTCCCAAATCCCAGACCCAGATGTGAGAATTTGTGACGATAGTGATTATGAACTACAAGCTCTTCAAACTAGTTCCAGTAGTGATAGTGAAGTGCAATATTCCCCAGTGAAGTGTCAGTATATGAGACGATATATGCGCTCTGGTAGTGTGCCATATGCTATTCCAAGGGTAAGGAGTACATCTCAAGAGTACATCCTGTGGCTGTACAACAGAAACTGACAGTGAAAATGACGATGATACTGTTGCAATTGGGATGGAAAATGTGCATGGTGGTGGTAGTGGTGGTGCTGGCTGTGAGGCACCAGCAGTGGCCCATGCTGCCACCCACGCCGCTGCCTCAGCTGATCTACAACAAAGGCCACCATCCCCCACCCACCCACCACACCAGCCTCCACAACCACAACCTCCACAACCACAACCACCTGTCATTGTCCAGTACCCACCAGCTGACCGCACCTGGGATTGGCAGGAAGCTGTCAAATCCCCACCAGTTTGATGACAGCCCAAGTGGAATACAGCCATGTTGTATACTGGGAAACAATGCCACTGAACTGGAATGTTTCCAGTTATTCTTGACGAACCCCTGATGGAAAGTATTGTCATGGAAAGCAACACATACTACGAGTACACCATGACAAACACAATACTTTCACCAAAATCACGTCTACACCAGTGGAAGGAGACAACTGTGGCTGAGATGTATCTTTTCTTTGCCACAAAAATGCTTATGCCACATGTGTATAAGCACAGTGTGAAATAATACTGGTCAACAGACCGCATGATTGCAACCCCAGGTTTCAGTGATATAATGCCAGTGAATTGATTTGTACTACTGTTACGTTTGCTTCACTTCTCGGACAAAACCATGCCTGACAGAAACAACAGGTTATATAAGATTAGGCATGTGTTTGTGTATCTGAAAGAGAAATTCAATATGTATTTTTATCCCTTCAGGAAGCTTGTAATTGACGAGTCTTTGATTCTGTTCAAAGGAAGACTCTTTCAAGCAGTACATACCAAGCAAGAGGAAATGCTTTGGTATAAAGTTGCTTGTGCTTTGTGATTGTTACAGTGGTCTGGTATTGGATATTATTGTGTACACTGGAAGTTATACATTGCAAAATACCAGGAAGTTATTGGACATCTCTGGTGATGTGGTTTGAACAATGATAGAACCATACCTTGGTAAGGGGCATATGTTATATACTGACAACTGGTACACAAGCCCCACACTCAGTGATTTTTTGTGAGTGAACATGACAGATGTGTGTGGCACAGTGCGTGCAAATCGGAAACATATGCCCAGGTTTGACACTGGCACTCGTAGAGGTGAGGTGCAGGCGTTTGCTGCCAATGACATCATGGCATTTTGGTGGCATGACAAACGAGATGTCACACTGTTGTCATCAGTTCCCCCTAATGAAATGGCAGACACTGGCAGGCAGCATAGAGAAAGCAATGAACCCATTCTAAAACCTGCAGCTGTGATGGACTACACCCTCAATATGCATTCAGTGGACAAATGTGACATGCAGATTGGGTTTGCTGATTGTGTTCGCAAGAGCTATAAGTGGTACATAAAACTCTTTTTCCATCTTCTGGACATTTCCATGCTGAATGCTTATAATATGTATAAGATGAGGACCAGAAACAAACCACCATATGGCGAATTCTGTTTGTCTGTCATCAGACAAATAGTATTCAAGTACCAAGGAACAACACTTGCAATAGACCGCCCACCAAATTTTCAACAACTTCCTTCTCATTTGAAGCATGGTGATCACTTCCTGGTAAAACTGCCTGCTCCTGCTTTCAAGAAAAAGGCTCAGAAGAGGTGTTATGTCTGTGCACATACAAAAAAACACCCACAACAACGCAGAGACACTCGTTTTGTGTGTGAGGAGTGTAAAACACCACTGTGCATGACACCATGTTTCAAAGACTTCCACAGGCTGCAGAACTTCTAGAAACATTCCCTGTGACTGTATATGTGTATATAAAATATAGAAAAATAGTATTAAACAACTTTTCATATCATTTGTTTGTGTAAGATAAGATAAGGTAAGATTTCGTTCGGATTTTTAACCCGGAGGGTTAGCCACCCAGGATAACCCAAGAAAGTCAGTGCGTCATCGAGGACTGTCTAACTTATTTCCATTGGGGTCCTTAATCTTGTCCCCCAGGATGCAACCCACACCAGTCGACTAACACCCAGGTACCTATTTGCTGCTAGGTGAACATAACAACAGGTGTAAGGAAACGTGTCGAAATGTTTCCACCCGCCGGGAATCGAACCCGGGCCCTCCATGTGTGAAGCGGGAGCTTTAGCCACCAGGCCATATTTTCTGTAAACAAAACAATGACAACAGTGTTTATGCCGTTATTGTGTAGTATTGAAAGAGAAATAACTTACAAAATACTGATCATATTGGTCTCACCGGGTGACGGCAGTCGGCGATGTTACCACATGATGCGCATTTTCTGTCAACTTAACACCTCCATATCTCGGTAAGTATTGATGGTAAAAATTTTTTGTTTAGCCTATAATGTCTAGAAAAAAAAAATTCATAAGAATTTTTTTTTTTTTTTTAATTTGGCCGACCCAGAGAACAAGTCTCTGACAGGGCCTGTCGACCCTGAAAGGGTTAATAGGTCTGATTTAATTATTGGGATGCTGTAAACCAATCATTCCTGGTTATATTTTATTATCCATGAAATAGAATAAATATTCTGTTTTTGTGTGATTCTGAATTCAAACTGGAAGGCAAGTTCAATATAGGAGAGGCCTGGGGATGTGATTAATAAACAAATGAAATGTTTTAGTGCCAGAAATGTCCAGATTGTTTATTTTGTACTCTATTTTTAAATTGTTCTCTTTTTAATTTTGAGTAAAATTGGCCAAATTACTGACTTGAGTGCACCTAGTACGGTAGTTGTAATTGCTGACTGGGCAGTTTCTTATGCTTAAGCTATAAAAGGGAAGGTATGCTAGTGAAGTAGCTAAGAATTTGGTTGAATGGAGTATTTAAAATAGAACTCAAAGCAAAATCGCTGATGAATAAATTGCACCCAGATCACTAAATTTTCGCCTGCGTAATTCCATAAGTTGTCCATCAAATTTTGTAATTTTGGAGTTAGTGGAACCCTGAGTTTTGTCCTTTATCTGTTCAAGAGCTAGGACTAAAGTCGAAATGTCCTAAAGGCACACGGAATAGGAGGAGCAGTTTTTTCCTGGGTAGAGGCATGGTTGACAAATAGGCAGCAGAGAGTTTGCATAAATGGGGAGAAATCAGAATGGGGGCACGTCACAAGCGTTTTCCGCAGGGGTCAGTGTTGGGCCCCTTGTTGTTCACAATTTACATAAACGGCATAGATGAGGGAATAAATAGCAACATAAGCAAATTTGCTGATGACACCAAAATAGGCCGTCCAATTCATTCTAATGAGGACATTAGAGCACTCTAGGATGATTTGAATAGACTGATGCAATGGTCGGAGAAGTGGCAGATGCAGTTTAATATAGACAAATACAAAGTTCTACATGTTGGAAAGGATAATAACCATGCCACATTTAAACTAAATAATGTAGATCTTAATATTACTGATTGCAAAAAGGATTTAGGAGTTCTGGTTAGCAGTAACCTGAAACCAAGACAACAGTGCATAAGCATTTGCAATAAAGCTAACAGAATCCTTGCTTCATATCAAGAAGCATAAATAATAGAAATCCTCAAGTTGTTCTTTAACTCTATATATCCTTGGTTAGGCCTCATTTAGATTATGCTGCACAGTTCTGGTCATCGTATTACAGATTGAACATAAATGCACTGGAAAACATACAGAGGAGGATGACAAAGTTGATCCCATGTATCAGAAATCTTTCCTACGAGGATAGGCTGAGGGCCCTGAATCTTCACTCTCTAGAACGGCATAGAATTAGGGGCGATATGGTTGAGGTGTATAAATGGAAAACAGGAATGAATAAAGGGGATGTATATAGCATGCTAAAAATATCTAGCCTCGGCAGGATTCACTGCAGTGGTTTTAAGCTGGAAAAATTCAAATTCAAGAAGGATATAGGAAAGCACTGGTTTGGAAATAGAGTTATGGATGAGTAGAACAAACTCCAGAGTACCGTTATAGAAGCTAAGACGTTGTATAGTTTTAAACATAGGTTAGATAAATACATGAGTGGGTGTGGGTGGGTGAGAGTTGGACCTGACTGGCTGGTGCTACTGGGTCAGATGTCATGCCCCTTCCTTAAGTGGAGGTGACCTGACTGGGTGGGCCATTGATCTAAGCTGGGGCTTGACATGGACCTGCCCCGTATGGGCCAGTAGGCCTGCTGCAGTGTTCCTTCTTTCTTATGTTCTTAAAGTCAAAGCAATATTTCCCATAAGAAATAATGTAAATCCAAATAACCCCTTGACTGTTGCAACCCCAAATCCTGAGGTGTCTCATGGTGTCGCAAAATTTAAAAAAAAAAATTATTTTTTCTTATGAAATGATGGAGAATCTTTTCCCGATTGTAATGACACCAAAAGAATGAAATTTGATGGAAAACTGATGGAATTACGCTCTCGTGAAGTTAGCGACCTTGGCGATATTTATGAATCGGTGATTTTGCCCACTTTGAGCCCCATTTTTGGCTAATTCCATTGTTCCAGTCGATCAAACTGATAGCTATTTCTTTAGAACTCCATTTTTTCTATCGATTGAGTACAAGAAACTGCTCATTTACCGATTTCAACTACCCAATAACGTGGTCAGAAATTTGCAATTTTGCCAAATTCACGAAAATTAAAAAATATGACAATTTCAAAATAGGGTCCAGAATAAATAATGCAGACATTCCTGGCTCTAAAATAACATTGTCTTTGTTCATCAGTCATGTCTCCAGGCCCCTCTGATATTACTCTTGCTTTCTATTTTGAATTTTTATTCAAACAAAAAATAGAAGATTTACTGTTATGCAGACTACTGCAATATTGTAATAATTGTATAAATAATGTCAACCCATTCAGACTGCATATTAGAATGGCTACTTGGACATTTATTGGAAAATGACATCATTTGTTTACTTTTGAACATCGGCAAAAATCAAACATTTCCCCTACTTTGAGCTCCATTTCAAAGTTCTTTTCATAGTAAAACCAATCAACATCACCTCTATTTCTATAATATGTTGTCCATTCTATCAAAAGAGACCAAGAAAACGAGAATACAACCATAAATACTATACAAAAATAGACCACAAAGTCGGCGTTTTAATTAAAAAAAAGGTCGGATTTTTTTTTCTCATTATATGGTGCACACTGACCATACAGACCCATTCTCTCACATGTGGGCCTACCAGCTTTCTCCTGCTTGATTTGAAGCTGCTAGAATTTGAGTATATATACGTCAAAAATGGTGGCTCCTAAGACGTATATATACGACCAAAACAGTCAAAGGGTTAATCTGTTCCAGACCCACAAAAATATTCACAAAAAATACATTTCTTAAAGAATAACTATAGCTTTACATAAACACAACACAGATAAATACATATAGTACTTAAATTAGTAATACATTAGATAAATTAACATTTAAATGAACATTTAAAATAACATTTACTTACCTTTATTGAAGACTTTTGCTGGCATCTGGAAGATAGGGAGGAGGAGTGAGGGAGCATTTATTGTTTGGAAGGGGAATCCCCTTCCATAAAGACTTTAGGTAACAAGTCCTTATCTGGGGTTACTTCCCTTCTTTGTCTTTTAATGCCACTAGGACCAGCTTGAGAGTCACTGGACCCCTGTCACACAAAATAACTGCCCAGAGTCCTCTGTTTCTGGCACCTCTCTAACATTCCCTGAAATGGGACATGGTTCTGTCACTGAACTTGTTGCAGAGATGGCTAGTGTAAGCTTGCTCAGGGTGGTATTTTTCCACAAAACTTTGCAACCTATTCCACATTCCACACATGTCCCTAATCACTGAAGAAGGCACCTCCTCCACTCCCTCTTCCTCCTCCTCCTCTGAAGCAAGTTCCTGATCTGTGGTCTGATGCTTATCCAGATGAAGCTCTTGCAGCTCTTCAGTGGTTAGCTGTTCCCTGTGGTCCTCCACCAACTCTTCCACATCCTCGCCACTCACCTCCAACCCCATGGACCTTCCCAGTGCCACAATACCTTGCACAACAGGGAGAGGGTTGGCACACCACTCTCGTATTTTTGTACTACAGTGGATCCCCCGCTTTACGATCAGCTTCCAGTGCGACCAATTATGTAAGTGTATTTATGTAAGTGCTTTTGTACGTGTATTTTTGGGGGTCTGAAACGGACTAATCTAATTCACAGTATTCCTTATGGGAACAAATTCGTTCGGTAACGGCACATGAACATACTTCTGGAATGAAATTATATCGTAAGGCGGGGGTCCACTGTATTTCTTTCTTCACTTCTCTGGTGTTTCTTACTTTACCAAAGGGATGCCACTAGGAAGTTTCTTTGGGCCCTTAGTGACTTATTTCACAGTTGCACTCAATATACAAGCAAACACAATGAATTAATTGTGAAATGTTTGGATGAGAGTGCAGGGTAATGTTCACTCTAAGATAAACAAGCAGCCAGACTTATTCACGACCCCTGCGTGGGGAGGTGCACAGGCATGGGCAGGCGGACAGATTTGGTACGCGGGACGAAACACTGGCACAGTACGAAACTCGGGACAAAATTTAGCCGAAAAACCAGTTCTAAACTTGAAGCGTACAATACTAAGGGCGGACGAAACTCAGGGTGCCACTGTATTACCTTCACAAAAAGATTATCTATCATTTCAAATTTTTTTGGGAAGTTGACACTGGGAGCAATTTTAATTTTTGGGGTCTGGATATTGAAAAGGTTAAAGCTGTGTATGGATCCCACCTCTACTACTTCACTCTCCAGATTGTTCCACTTCCTGACAACTCGAAGGCTAAAGAAATGCTTCCTAACATCCTTGTGACTCGTCTGAGTTTTCAACTTCCAGTTGTGCCATTTTTGTTTGTATTATCCCCATCTTTGAAGCATAGTCCCTGTTCATCTTGTCAATACTTTTCAGTATTTTGTACGTTGTTATAACCCACCTAGTCCTCCTGTCCTCCAGTATCATCAGGTTAAGCTCCCTTACCTTCTCCTCACTGGACATACCCCTTAGTTCTGGGACTAATCTTGTTGCAAACCTCTGCACTTTCTCCAATTTCATGATATGGTGGGCCAGGTTTAGGTTCCATACTGGTGCTTCATACTCTAATATGGGCCTGACATACATGCTGTATGGTGTTGTGAATGACTCCTTACCTAGATGTCAAAACACTTTTCTTAGATTTGCCAGACGTGCATATCAGAGAAAAGTGTGTGGGTGTGTATGTGTATGTTTCTTTTATTTGTCTCTTATTTTGATTGTATTTCATGGTACTGTATAAAGATAAAATAAAAATAACTTTACAGATATTGATGTAATTTTCTTCTATTTAATGCACTGTAATAAATATATTAATTTTCACTATGCTTTTCAGTTGTATATGTGTCATCTACCTACTGGTAAATGGCAGAAAGTCCTCACATATGGAAAAAAGCCTGATCCTATGTATGGGCAGGTAGGTTTACTTTATCCTTAAGCTTATTTTATGTTCTGTACCATTAATAGCTTTTCAGCCAGTGTTGGAGAAATTTCTTCTTGGTTTCAAAAATTGATAGAATGCTGATAGTTATAATAATATTTTTATTTACTACAAGTACATGTACATGTTATACAGGCCTAGCTGACATCAATGACATACTACTATATAGAAAGCATCTTGTTATGCAGAGCATTTCATGAAAACTAGGCCAGTTTAGTCCTAGGATGTGACCCAGACCAGCCAACTAACACCCAAGTATCCATTTTACTGATGGGTGAACATAGACAACCAGTGTAAAGAAACATGCCCAATGTTTCTACCCTCACTAGAATCAAACCCAGACACTCACCGTGTGAAGCGAGAGCATTAGTCACAAGGCCACGGAGCAAGCAAATTACCTGCACTTATGCAAAGCTGCTGTTCAATTTCCATAAAAAGACTTGGAAGATGATAGAAAGGGAAAGATTTCTATCGTGTACTGGTAACTGTACAGGTAATAAAAATTGTAGCCATATGTATTTGTAGTAGCAGGTTGGTAGACAGCAACCACCAGGGAGGTACTACCGTCCTGCCAAGTGAGTGTAAAACAATAGCCCGTAATTGTTTTACATGATGGTAGGATTGCTGGTGTGTTTTCTTTCTGTCTCATAAACATGCAAGATTTCAGGTACGTCTACTTCTACTTAGGTCACACTACACATACTACTTGTACACATTTATGTATACACACTCATCTGAGTTTTCTTTGATTTTATCTTAATAGTTCCTGTTCTTATTCCTTTTCCTTTTATATCCATGGGGAAGTGGAATAAGAATCTTTCCTCCATAAGCCGTGTGTGTTGTAAAAGTCAACTAAAATACCGGGAACAATGGGCTAGTAACCTCTTTTAATGTGTAGCCTACTAAAACGAAAAAGAAGAAAACCATCAAAGTGGGATGTTTGAATGTGCATGGATGTTGTGCGAATGATAAGAAAGAGATGATTGTGGATGTTATGAATGAGAAGAAGCTGGATGTCCTGGCTTTAAGTGAAACAAAGCTGAAAGGGGTGGGAGAGTTTAAGTGGGGAGCAATAAATGGGATTAGGTCAGGGGTTTCATATAGAGTTAGAGCTAAAGAAGGAGTAGCAGTAATGTTGAAGGATAAGTTATGGTAGGAAAGGAGGGAATATAAATGTATAAATTCAAGGATTATATGGAGTAAAATAAGGGTTGGATGTGAAAAGTGGATTATAGTAAGCATTTATGCACCTGGAGAAGAGAGAAGTGTAAAGAGAGATTTTGGGAAATGCTGAGTGAGTGCATAGGGAGATTTGAACCAAGTGTGAGAGTACTTGTGGTTGGGGATTTCAGTGCTAAAGTGGATAAAAATGTTGTGGAGAGAGTAGTGGGTAAATGTGTGGTGCCAGGGGTACATGAAAATGGGGAGCCTTTAATTAAACTATGTGTAGAAAGAGGTTTAGTATTAAGGAATACATTTTTATGAAAAAGATGATAAATAAGTATACAGGGTATGATATAGCATGTAATGAAAGTATTGGTGGATAAAAAGTTGATGGGTAGTCTTCAAGATGTACATGTTTATAGAGGGGCAACAGATATATCGGATCATTATTTAGTTGTAGATACAATTAGAGTAAGAGATAGATGGGACAGAAGGAAAATGGCAACAACAAGGAAGAGAGAGGTGAAAGTGTGTAAACTAAGGGAGGAAGAAGTGTGGGTGAGATTTAAGCAACTATTGGCAGAAAGGTGGGCTAGTGCAAGTATGAGTAGTGGGGGGGGGGGCAGAAGAGGATTGGAGTAGTTTGAAAAATGCAGTATTCGAATGTGGGGCAGAAGTTTGCAGCTATAGGAGGGTGGGTGCAGGAGGAAAGAGGAGTGATTGGTGGAATGAAGTAATGGGTGTGATAACAGAGAAAAACATAGCTTATGAGAGATTTTTACAAGCAGAAGTGTTATAAGAAGAGCAGAGTATATGGAGAGTAAAAGAAAGGTGAAGAGAGTGGTGAGAGAGTGCAAAAGAAGAGCAGATGATAGAGTGGGAGAGGCAATGTCAAGAAATTTTGAGGAAAATAAGAAAAAATTTTATAGTGAGATAAACAAGTTAAGAAAGATTAGGGAATGAATGGATTTGTTAGTTAAAAACAGAGTAGGGGAGTTAGTAGATGGGGAGCTGGAGGTATTGGGTAGATGGTAGGTATATTATGAAGAACTTTTAAATGTCGATGAAGGAAGGCGGTAATTTCATGCACTGTTCAGGGAGGTATAATATCTTTTAGGAGTGAAGAAGAGAAGGATGTTAGTGTGGGGAAGGTGCATGACGCATTATGTAGAATGAAAGGGGGTAAAATAGCTGGAACTGCCAGGATCATGACAGAAATGTTAAAAGCAGGAGGGGGGGATATAGTGTTGGAGTGGTTGGTATTTTTATTTAATAAGTGTATGAAAGAGGGGAAGGTACCTAGGGATTGGCAGAGAGCTTGTATAGTTCCTTTATATAAAGGGAAAGGGGACAAAAGAGATTGTAAAAATTATAGGGGAATAAGTTTACTGAGTATACCAGGAAAAGTGTACGGTAGGGTTATTATTGAAAGAATTAGAGGTAAGACAGTGAGTAGGATTTCAGATGAGCAAGGAGGCTTTAGAGTGGGTAGAGGATGAAGCATATATGTGAATAGTATTTAGATAAAGGTAGGGAAGTTTTCATTGCACTTAAGGATTTAGAAAAGGCATATGATAGAGTGGATAGGGGAGCAATGTGGCAGATGTTGCAAGTATATGGAATAGGTGGTAAGTTACTAAATGCTGTAAAGAGTTTTTATGAGGATAGTGAGGCTCAGGTTAGGGTGTGTAGAAGAGAGGGAGACTACTTCCCGGTAAAAGTAGGTCTTAGACAGGGATGTGTAATGTCACCATGGTTGTTTAATCTATTTATAGATGGGGTTGTAAAAGAAGTAAATGCTAGGGTATTGGAAAGAGGGGTGGGATTAAATTATGGGGAATCAAATACAAAATGGCAGCTGACACAGTTACTTTTTGCTGATAATGTGCTTATGGGAAATTCTAAAGAAAAGTTGCAAAGGTTAGTGGACGAGTTTGGGAGGGTGTGTAAAGGTAGAAAGTTGAAAGTGAACATAGATAATTGTAAGGTGATGAGGGTATCAAATGATTTAGATAAAGAAAAATTGGATATCACATTGGAAAGAGGAAGTATGGAAGAAGTGAATATTCTCAGATATTTGGGAGTTGACGTGTCAGCGGATGGGTTTATGAAGGATGAGGTTAACCATAGAATTATGAAGGAAAAAAGGTGAGTGCTGCATTGAGATATATGTTGAGACAAAAAACATTATCTACGGAGGCAAAGAAGGGAATGTATAAAAGTATAGTAATACCAACTCTCTTATATGGGTGTGAAGCTTGGGTTGTAAATTCTGCAGTGAGGAGGCGGTTGGAGGCAGTGGAGATGTCCTGTCTAAGGGCAATGTGTGGTGTAAATATTATGCAGAAAATTCGGAGTGTGGAACTTAGGAGAAGGTGTGGAGTTAATAAAAGTATTAGTCAGAGGGCTGAAGAGGGGTTTTTGAGGGGGTTTGGTCATTTAGAGACAATGGATCAAAGTAGAATGACATGGAGAGCGTATAAATCTGTAGAGGAAGGAAGGTGGGGTAGGGGTCATCCTCGAAGAGGTTGGAGGGAGGGGGTAAAGGAGGTTTTGTGGGCGAGGGGCTTGGACTTTCAGCAAGCATGCGTGAGCGATTAGATAGGAGTGAATGGAGATGAATGGTTTTTGGGACCTGACAGGCTGTTGGAGTGTGAGCAGGGTAATATTTAGTGAAGGGATTCAGGGAAACTGGTTATTTTTATATAGCCGGAAATGGGACGTACAATGCCCGCACTTTAAAGGAGGGATTTGGGATATTGGCAGTTTGGAGGGATATGTTATATAACTTTTTATATATGGGGGCTCTGGTGGCCTGGTGGTTAACGCTCTCGCTTCACACGGTGAGGGCCTGGGTTCGATTCCCAGCCAGAGTAGAAACATTGGACGTGTTTCTTTCAACCTGTTGTCTATGTTCCCCATCAGTAAAATGGGTACCTGGGTGTTAGTCGACTGGTGTGGGTCGCATCCTGGGACACTGACCTAAGGAGGCCTGGTCACAGACCGGGCCGCGGGGGCGTTGACCCCCGGAACTCTCTCCAGATAAACTCCAGATATGCTTCTTAACTGATGTATCTGGGTGCCTCTGCAAAAACAGTGATTATGTATGAGTGAGGTGAAAGTGTTGAATGATGATGAAAGTATTTTCTTTTTTTTTGGGGTGGGGGGGGATTTTGTTTTTGGGTCAACATACCTCAGTGGGAGATGGCCGACTTGTTAAAAAAAAAATGTATTTGAGAGGAGGTAATCCCATTGTAGTTGAGCAGAAAAAACAAAAATAAAAATTTTACACTTAATGGTAAAAGTACCAAATTTGGTACACTTGTAGACACTTTTAATGTGAACAGATCTTGATATCAATTGAGCCATCACCAGACTTGTCCTGGTAAGCTATGGTGGCTATTATGAAAGATGTTGATTTCTTTTTACTATATATACCTACTCAACTGGGGAGGATTGCCTGATGATAATACAGTAGATGTTATTGTCCAGAGGGACCTGGGGAATAGCTACTCACATAAATTTGTTGAAAATAAGAAAAAGTTTTGGAGTGAGATTAACAAGTTAAGGAGGCCTAGAGAACAAATGGATTTGTCAGTTAAAAATAGGAGAGGAGAGTTATTAAATGGAGAGTTAGAGGTATTGGGAAGATGGAAGGAATATTTTGAGGAATTGTTAAATGTTGATGAAGATAGGGAAGCTGTGATTTCGTGTATAGGGCAAGGAGGAATAACATCTTGTAGGAGTGAGGAAGAGCCAGTTGTGAGTGTGGGGGAAGTTCGTGAGGCAGTAGGTAAAATGAAAGGGGGTAAGGCAGCCGGGATTGATGGGATAAAGATAAAAATGTTAAAAGCAGGTGGGGATATAGTTTTGGAGTGGTTGGTGCAATTATTTAATAAATGTATGGAAGAGGGTAAGGTACCTAGGGATTGGCAGAGAGCATGCATAGTTCCTTTGTATAAAGGCAAAGGGGACAAAAGAGAGTGCAAAAATTATAGGGGGATAAGTCTGTTGAGTATACCTGGTAAAATGTATGGTAGAGTTATTATTGAAAGAATTAAGAGTAAGACGGAGAATAGGATAGCAGATGAACAAGGAAGCTTTAGGAAAGGTAGGGGATGTGTGGACCAGGTGTTTACAGTGAAACATATAAGTGAACAGTATTTAGATAAGGCTAAAGAGGTTTTTGTGGCATTTATGGATTTGGAAAAGGCGTATGACAGGGTGGATAGGGGGCAATGTGGCAGGTGTATGGTGTAGGAGGTAGGTTACTGAAAGCAGTGAAGAGTTTTTACGAGGATAGTGAGGCTCAAGTTAGAGTATGTAGGAAAGAGGGAAATTATTTCTCAGTAAAAGTAGGCCTTAGACAAGGATATGTGATGTCCCCGTGGTTGTTTAATATATTTATAGATGGGGTTGTAAGAGAAGTAAATGCGAGGGTCTTGGCAAGAGGCGTGGAGTTAAAAGATAAAGAATCACACATAAAGTGGGAGTTGTCACAGTTGCTCTTTGCTGATGACGCTTTGCTCTTGGGAGATTCTGAAGAGAAGTTGCAGATTGTGGTGGATGAATTTGGTAGGGTATGCAAAAGAAGAAAATTAAAAGTGAATACAGGAAAGAGTAAGGTTATGAGGATAACAAAAAGATTAGGTGATGAAAGACTGGATATCAGATTGGAGGGAGAGAGTATGGAGGAGGTGAATGTATTAAAATATTTGGGAGTGGACGTGTCAGCGGATGGGTCTATGAAAGATGAGGTGAATCATAGAATTGATGAGGGGAAAAGGGTGAGCGGTGCACTTAGGAGTCTGTGGAGACAAAGAACTTTGTCCTTGAAGGCAAAGAGGGGAATGTATGAGAGTATAGTTTTACCAACGCTCTTATATGGGTGTGAAGCATGGGTGATGAATGTTGCAGCGAGGAGAAGGCTGGAGGCAGTGGAGATGTCATGTCTGAGGGCAATGTGTGGTGTGAATATAATGCAGAGAATTCGTAGTTTGGAAGTTAGGAGGAGGTGCGGGATTACCAAAACTGTTGTCCAGAGGGCTGAGGAAGGGTTGTTGAGGCAGTTCGGACATGTAGAGAGAATGGAGCGAAACAGAATGACTTCAAGAGTGTATCAGTCTGTAGTGGAAGGAAGGCGGGGTAGGGGTTGGCCTAGGAAAGGTTGGAGGGAGAGGGTAAAGGAGGTTTTGTGTGCAAGGGGCTTGGACTTCCAGCAGGCATGCTTGAGCATGTTTGATAGGAGTGAATGGAGACAAATGGTTTTTAATACTTGACGTGCTGTTGGAGTGTGAGCAAAGTAACATTTATGAAGGGATTCAGGGAAACCGGCAGGCCAGACTTGAGTCCTGGAGATGGGAAGTACAGTGCCTGCACTCTGAAGGAGGGGTGTTAATGTTGCAGTTTAAAAACTGTAGTGTAAAGCACCCTTCTGGCAAGACAGTGATGGAGTGAAGGATGGTGAAAGTTTTCCTTTTTCGGGCCACCCTGCCTTGGTGGGAATCGGCCAGTGTGATAATAATAAAAAAAAAATAAAAATAAATTTGTCTGATTTTACCAATTTATGCAGTTTTTAGGCAGGAGGTACCATTGAAAGTGTAAATACAGTAATTGTACAGAACACTGACTGGGGGTGTGATGGTGTGTGGTTGTTGCTGGATTGTTCTGATAAATTTGCCGATAAATGGGACACGTGCAACATTTGGGTATCTTTATTCTGGAGACATTTTGCCAGGCAGTGGTTTCTTCACTCCATGGTGAGAAGAGTGGAAGATTAGGAGGAGTTTGAGGTAATCAGTCCCTCAGTCTTGAGTTGATGTGTTCAGTCAAGATTAATGAACTGAATACTACATCAAGCCGAAGCTAAGGGGCTGATTACCTCAAACTCCTTGTCTTCCTTTGTTCTCTGCATGGACTGAAGATACCATTGGCCGGTGAAACATTTCCAGAATAAAGATACCAAAATGTTACACAAGTGTCTCTTTTATCAACTTGTCGGTTTTCTAAGCCATTTATTCAAAGTAATTTTTTTTCTTAGTGGTGGGGGTAGTAATGGTGCTGGTAGGGAAGTATGACATCAATATGCTTTTTCTAAACAATGGATCTATCTGGTGAGTAAATATTTTTTTTAAATTTCATCATAAAAATGAATAGTAATTAGATTGGTAATATTTTCTTCTTGGTCCCTATCACAAGTTATAATATGGGCTTCTGATGGAAAAATGCAGTTCCCATTAATGTAATTTTTAACAAACTATTCCTCAGATCCCAATGTAGGTCATTAAGTGGAGGTTCACTGTACCATTTGGTGGACAGAGAGGGAAATTGAGTTAGTAGTTGAAGCTTGTAGGAGAAAAAGGGAAAAAGGTGGAGAGAGATGCATCCAGGAAATAGAGAGAGGAAATATTTTTCTTATACTTTCAACTTGTGAATTTATATTATATTTCTCGTTTTTTATAAGTGCTGCATTGTTTTATTATTTGTGCAAATTCTCAAACCATGATACCAGGAATCTGTCCATCAGAACTGTGACTGAATGAACCTCTTAAGGTTTAAGAGAAGCAAAAGAACAGTGTCTGATTAAAGTTTGAAAAGAATTAGTTTTGATGTACCTATGAGTCATAACAAGTAACATGTTGAATAACTAATTGTATAGCAGTTGTAGCAAAATATAGATTGAATGCCAAGAAAAAAAAAAGACGTGATTAACACAATCATCATCTTTCAGGCTGTGTGTCTTAGTGAAGATAAATTGTACGTTGTGGGTGGTACCACTGGTTTCCAATACAGTATTGATGTACACTGCCTAGACCTTAACCAAAGAGTATGGGAACACCTCTCCCCTCGTGTTACAAGCCCAAATGCCAATCCAGAGGAGAGGTGAGGATTTAATAAAACTACTGCATGCCTTTAAATCTTTCATGCAGTGAATGTTTGGAGACCAGACTGAAGGACAGGAGTATGAAGAAGTGATTATGGTTAGAAATTTTGTCAATATGCTGATTGCATTCCTCTCTTACTGCTCTTTCTTTGAAGGGGATGACCTTAATTTTAGTGAAAGGTCCCTGATCCAGGGCATTGGAGCTACCCTTTCCTTACCTCAAACCTGATTATTGTACCTTCAGTTCCTGAGACACTGTACTGACCTGATGGATTTAGTGCAGCTCAGTGAATATGATTACTACAGTGATAATAATCCTTTTGCATATCTCAAGTTCATTATCTAATTTCTCAGACTACAATAGCTACTTCATCCTTCGTTATAGTTATGTTATATAAATTGTCCTAACCTTACGTAAGACTGTGTTCCAATATCTTTTTAAAGTTGGCTTGATTAAGTGTGATGTATCATGCACCCTTGAAGAGAGCAGCCCAGTGTATATGATGCTGCTGAGTGGTTCTTCACCTGTGGAATAAAAGTTACCCTTTCCTTCCTTGGGGCAAACCTGATGGCCTCCCATATCTCAGGAACTCTGTGCTCCTTATGGGTTTAGTGCTGGCTGTTGACTATAATAATCATAATGCTTCCTACATTAAATGGCAGTACTGGTAGTATAATACTGTATATATAATTCCTATATTCTGGTAGCTACAGTTAGAGTAAGAGGTAAATGGGATAAGAGGAAAATGGTAACAACAAGTAAGAGGGAGGTGAAAGTGTATAAACAAAGGGAGGAGGAAGTTCGGGAGAAGTATAAGCAACTATTGGCAGAAAGGTGGGCTGGTGCAGGTATGAGTAGTGGGGGGATTGAAGAGGGTTGGAATAGTTTTAAAAATGCAGTATTAGAATGTGGGGCAGAAGTTTGTGGTTATAGGAGGGTGAGTGCAGGAGGAAAGAGGAGTGATTGGTGGAATGATGAAGTAAAGGGTGTGATAAAAGAGAAAAAGGTAGCTTATGAGAGGTATTTACAAAGCAGAAGTGTTATAAGAAGAACAGAGTATATGGAGAGTAAAAGAAAGGTGAAGAGAGTGGTGAGAGAGTGCAAAAGGAGAGCAGATGATGGAGTGGGAGAGATACTGTCAAGAAATTTTATGTGAAAATAAGTGAGTGAGTTAAACAAGTTAAGAAAGCCTAGGGAACAAATGGATTTGTCAGTTAAAAACAGAGTAGGGGAGTTAGTAGATGGGGAGATGTAGGTTTTGGGTAGATGGCGAGAATATTTTGAGGAACTTTTAAATGTCGACGGAGAAAGGGAGGCGGTAATTTCATGCACTGGCCAGGGAGGTATACCATGTTTTAGGAGTGAAGAAGAGCAGGATGTAAGTGTGGGGGAGGTGCGTGAGGCATTACGTAGAATGAAAGGGGGTAAAGCAGCTGGAACTGACGGGATCATGACAGAAATGTTGAAAGCAGGGCGGGACAGTGTTGGAATGGTTGGTATTTTTGTTTAATAAATGTATAAAAGAGGGGAAGGTACCTAGGGATTGGCAGAGAGCGTGTATAGTCCCTTTATATAAAGGGAAGGGGGACAAAAGAGATTGTAAAAATTATAGAGGAATAAGTTTACTGAGTATACCAGGAAAAGTGTACGGTAGAGTTATTATTGAAAGAATTAGAAGACAGAATGTAGAATTGTGGATGAGCAAGGAGGTTTTAGAGTGGGTAGGGGATGTGTAGATCAAGTGTTTACATTGAAGCATATATGTGAGCAGTATTTAGATAAAGGTAGGGAAGTTTTTATTGCATTTATGGATTTAGAAAAGGCATATGATAGAGTGGATAGGGAAGCAATGTGGCAGATGTTGCAAGTATATGGAATAGGTGGTAAGTTACTAAATGCTGTAAAGAGTTTTTATGAGGATAGTGAGGCTCAGGTTAGGATGTGTAGAAGAGAGGGAGACTATTTCCCGGTACAAGTAGGTCTTAGACAGGGATGTGTAATGTCACGATGGTTGTTTAATATATTTATAGATGGGGTTGTAAAAGAAGTAAATGCTAGGGTGTTCGGGAGAGGGGTGGGATTAAATTATGGGGAATTAAATACAAAATGGGAAGTGACACAGTTACTTTTTGCTGATGATACTGTGCTTATGGGAGATTCTAAAGAAAAATTGCAAAGGTTAGTGGATGAATTTGGGAGTGTGTGTAAAGATAGAAAGTTGAAAGTGAACATAGAAAAGAGTAAGGTGATGAGAGTATCAAATGATTTAGATAAAGAAAAATTGGATATCAAATTGGGGAGGAGTAGTATTGAAGAAGTGAATGTTTTCATATATTTGGGAGTTGATGTGTCAGCGGATGGATTTATGAAGGATGAGGTTAATCATAGAATCAAAGTAGAATGACATGGAGAGTATATAAATCTGTAGGAGAAGGAAGGCGGGGTAGGGGTCATCCTCGAAAAGGTTGGAGGGAGGGGGTAAAGGAGGTGTGTGGGCGAGGGGTTTAGACTTCCAGCAAGCGTGCATGAGCGTGTTAGGAGTGAATGGAGACAAATGGTATTTGGGACCTGACGAGCTGTTGGAGTGTGAGCAGGGTAATATGTAGTGAAGGGATTCAGGGAAACTGGTTATTTTATATAACCGGACTCGAGTCCTGGAAATGGGAAGTACAATGCCTGCACTCTAAAGGAGGGGTTTGAGATATTGGCAGTTTGGAGGGATATATTGTGTATTTTTATACATATATACTTCTAAACTGTTGTATTCTGGGCACCTCTGCAAAAACAGTGATTATGTGTGAGTGAGGTGAAAGTGTTGAATGATGATGAAAGTATTTTCTTTTTGGGGATTTTCTTAATTTTTGGGTCACCCTGCCTCGGTGGGAGACAGCCGACTTGTTGAAAAAAAAAAAATTCTGGTTATTATCCAAAGTTATTTTTTAATATAGCGAACATCTCCAACTGAGGCAGCATGACCCAAAAGAGAAGAAAAACTATAAAATTTTCCTCCTTTTACATTTAGTTATTTATACAGGAGAAGGAGTTACTAGCCTCTTGCTCCCAGTATTTTAGTCAACTTTTATGACATGCATGGGTCCAAAAGTTATATCATCAGCATATCAATGGTACACAATACCACCAAGTTGATGAGTAGGACATAGATGCAACTCTTAGGTACGGTAAACCCTCAGTGTAACTGACCTCAATATATCAGACTTTTAAAATAATGGGTAAAATCTATGTAAATTGTACTTTTAACTCCTTTAATTTCAATTAGTATTGTAATATAACTGTAAATTGTGTGTACAGTGCTATTTTAGATGTACAGTCGAGTATTTGAGTGCCTTTACTTGCTATTTCTTAACATTCTAATTTAACGGACACTCGGGCAGTTCCTCAATTAGTTTGTTAAATCGAGAGTTTACCGTATCTTTGTTGTTGAAATGTTTCGCGTGCTCAGCAGGCTTCTTCAGTCAAATACAAGATATTATAACACTAAGTGGAAGTGGAAAGATAATTTGAGGTGATCAGCCCCTCAGCCTTATAAGTGGTCAGTAAGAGGACCAAGATTATAATCTGGAGTTGGGGGTAAGGTGTAGCAGCTCGATATGTTTTCTCCAACTTTATTGGTAACAACTGTTTAGAATGTCCCAGTCCCAGTAGTCGGCCCCACTCACTTATGTAATCTCCAACTACTACCCCCTCACTTCCAGCTGCACTGTATACATCTCTGGCTTCTTGTCTCTCTGAAGAACTGACCACCTTTTGTTAAGGATGAGGGACTGATCACCTTAAATTATCTCTTCACTTGTTTTACTGTTTCCAATGTTATAATCTCCTGTATTTGACCAAAGAAGGCTGCTTAGCAGGTGAAACAATTTAACAATAAAAATACCTAAGTATTAACATTGTAAAGTTAAGCACTAAACCTGAAGGGATCATATAGCTACTTGAGTGTTATAACTGTCTTACTCTTCAGAAGTTATACTATTGTCACTTTTCTTCATGGTGCTGTATGTCTAAGCTTACACTTCCATTTATATTTCTCAGGAGAATTTCTTGATTTTTGTTACTTAAGTATAGCTTTAAGATGTATCTACAAAAACCTCACTACCATACTTTCCTTATATTCATAATGTTGTACAGCTATTGCATATTTTGCCAATAAAATTTGTTGTACAGTGTTTACATTACAACTTAACACTAATATTGACAGCACATGTTAATGCTTCTTTGCTGTTAATACATAATGTTTTACTTTATACAGATATCGCCATGAAATAGTAGAGTTTGCCGGAGCGCTGTATGTGTTTGGTGGAGGAAGGTCAGATGCAGCATGTGGCCTGACACACCTACCAACTTTCTTGCTGTCTGAGCGCTTGTGGGTCAACACTCAGACACGACCAGATATTCATAGTGGAACATATCCCCAGCCTAGACGATGTCATGTTGCCAGTAGAATAAATAACTGTAAGAACCTGTCTGGTGTCTTTGAGGTAGAATTGGTTTAATAAGATTTTGAAGGCTTTTTCACCAAGGGAGTATGTAAAAGCTGACCGGATGTCATTTGTATTTTATTTAGCTTTACTGTAACCATATACAAATTTACGAACGTTGTTAGAAACCCCTGTAACATGAAGGCATATTTTTGTGCAGAAATTTTATCTGTATATATACATACTACTAGTGCTCAAGTATTCATAAACCCTTAAATAAAAAATCAGAGATAGATGAAGAATTCTATGATGGTATCTTGTGCCTGTCACAAGTAAAACCATCAGTGTTTGCTAATAGTGAAAAAAAAACGTGTAAGCAGACAGGAACTCTTCATTAAGTTGGTAGGAAGGCAAAACTGATAGGAATAATCAGAAAGAGAATAAAGAGTGAGAATTAGTAGGTAACAGCTACGGAAAATATAGTATAGCAGTTAATCAAAAGAAACAGAAAGAGAAAGAGAGGCTGGTACACGAGTGCTCCAAAGAATTCTCGCTGAGCAATGCATTTTTTAGGTAAGAAATGCCATCTAGTGGACATGACCTGCTGTTGCTTAGCAGGAAAGGCAGGAGGCTGGGCTGGCTAGCTGTCAGCAACTAGATTGAATAAAATCTAAGAGTGTACTGTGCTACCAGATTTTGCATGTTGCTTAATTCTTTTGTATTTATGGTGCATAAAATCAAGATTCCTAGGTAGTAGGTTGGTAAACAGCAACCACCCAGGGAGGTACTACCGTCCTGCCAAGTGAGTGTAAAACGAAAGCCTGTATTTATTTTACATGATGGTAGGATTGCTGGTGTCTCTTTTCTGTCTCATAAACATGCAAGATTTCAGGTACGTCTTGCTACTTCTACTTACACTTAGGTCACACTACATATACATGTACAAGCATATATATACACACCCCTCTGGGTTTTTTTCTATTTTCTTTCTAGTTTTTGTTCTTGTTTATTTCCTCTTACCTCCATGGGGAAGTGGAACAGAATTCTTCCTCCGTAAGCCATGCGTGTTGTAAGAGGCGACTAAAATGCCGGGAGCAAGGGGATAGTAACCCCTTCTCCTGTATTTACTAAATGTAAAAGGAGAAACTTTCGTTTTTCCTTTTAGGCCACCCCGCCTCAGTGGGATATGGCCGGTGTGCTGAAAGAAGAAAGAATCAAGATTTTCTTGAGCTCTTAAAATTTTTGATTGCAGTAGGGATATTTGCAGTTTTGAGCTGTTGTATCAGCACCCCTCTGGCAAGACAGGGATGGAGTGAATGATATTGAAGGAGTTTCTTCTTATGGGTCACCCTGTCTTGCTGGGAGACAGCCGGTTTGTTGAAAAAAAAAAATGCAACAGAATTGTGCTATGTAAATTTGGGTTGTAAGAGGGTCTATGCAACTGAACCTTACCTGGAATACAATAATAAAAATTATTGTAGTGAATGTTCAGAAACCGATTCATCTGAGATAAGAAGAATGAAATAAGTATATGAAAGTGGTATGCAGGATATGATATTAGGAGAGGACCAAACCATCATATATATATAGACAAGAGCAACTGATGTTTGTACTGTACTGTACATTGGGTAGTCAGGTGTTAGGACCAATGTTTCCCATGAAGCTACATGCCTGTGTAACAGCCAAAGAAGTGCATCATACTGATGTATTGACTGTTAAGACAGAGTACATTTTCAATGTCAAGTTAGTGCCTTTTTTTTTTTTTTGTTTTACAGTTTTTTTTTTAACACACCAGCTGTCCCCCATCAAGGTAGGGTGACCCAAAAAAGAAAAAATGCTTTCATAAAGTTTTTTCTTTTTGCATTTAGTAATTTATACAAAAGGGGTTACTAGCCCCTTGCTTCTGGCATTTTAGTCACCTCTTACAACATGCATGGCAGATTTACATTTTGGTATAGTAGATTTTAAGTTTTCATATTCAGTATTCACTTCTTAAATACCATTGGGGTTTGATAGCTATAAATACTGCATTACTGCAATAAAAATTGCAAATTCTTATATATTTTTTTTTATTATTATCACACTGGCCGATTCCCACCAAGGCAGGGTGGCCCAAAAAAGAAAAACTTTCACCATCATTCACTCCATCACTGTCTTGCCAGAAGGGTGCTTTACACTACAGTTTTTAAACTGCAACATTAACACCCCTCCTTCAGAGTGCAGGCACTGTACTTCCCATCTCCAGGACTCAAGTCCGGCCTGCTGGTTTCCCTGAATCCCTTCATAAATGTTACTTTGCTCACACTCCAACAGCACGTCAAGTATTAAAAACCATTTGTCTCCATTCACTCCTATCAAACACGCTCATGCATGCCTGCTGGAAGTCCAAGCCCCTCGCACACAAAACCTCCTTTACCCCCTCCCTCCAACCTTTCCTAGGCCGACCCCTACCCCGCCTTCCTTCCACTACACTATATGGCTTAGAAAACCGACATGGATGACTCAGATACACATACAACACTTGGGTGTCTTTATTGTCTTCATTAACCAGTGGATTTATCAATCATCATTTTATCAACACACTGGCCGACTCCCACCAAGGCAGGGTGGCCCAAAAAAGAAAAACCCTCACCATCATTTACTCCATCACTGTCTTGTTAGAAGGGTGTTTTACACTACAGTTTTTAAACCAACATTAACACCCCTCCTTCAGAGTGCAGGCACTGTACTTCCCATCTCCAGGACTCAAGTCCGGCCTGCAGGTTTTATCAATCAAATACACACAAATATAGTATTGGAGTGATACAACTACCACTTGGCAAAAACATTTCTGCGGTAAAGATACCCAAGTGTTGCACACATGTCTTACTGAATTTTAAGTTGCTACCATTTACATCATGTACACATGATGTAAATAGTTTAGAAAATTGACAAGTTAAAGAATGAGATGCTTGTGCAACATTTGAGAATCTTTATTACGAGAGATTCCCAAATGTTTCACAAGTGTCTTGTCTCAGTCTTCACACATGTACAATTGCATCTATACTTGTACACATAACAGCATTTGTTCTTCATAAGGATAGAAAAAATTTAGGGATCATTGGTCAGGATTGAAATGTTAAAGCTAAAAATGTAAATATTTGAAAATACAGTAAAACTTTTATGATTACGCATTTGAGCAGGATATAGAATATCGATTTTATGTTAACATTGAGTGCAAATTTCAGTAAAAAATTATGTGAATTGGGTTTAGTATTTTTTTAGAAAAACTTAAGTTCAAGTTGTTTTTATAAAGAAAGAAATAAACCTTTTAGTTATTTAATGATATCTTAAGTAAAAATTGGTTCTGTAGCAGCCATTTTGTATTTAGCAAGCAAACTTTCTAAACCAACTTTGTGTATGTAGAAGTGTTATTATATTCACATTACAGAACTATATGGCCCACTTCCTTCTTAATAATATGATTATATCATAGTGGTAAAAAATGCATACTGTATATAAAAGAATGTTGAGGTTAAGTGTGCAGAACAGTGCTACCTCGCCATCTTTATTATATCGCTGGAAGAAGAATGTAAAATATTGATGGATTATACTTTTATTTTGTCAGTAGCCAAGAGGAGAAAGTTACTTGCAGTCTGTATGGTACATAGCATTTTGAGTGACTTATTGAAAGACATGTATTTTCTTTTATTTCAGATGTTTACATCCATGGTGGTTATAATGGTGTAGAAGCATTTGCTGATCTTTGGAGACTGAATCTGATTTCATTTGAGTGGCAAAAATTACCATGCAAATCACCAGTACCACTCTACTTTCATTCGGCAGCTGTAACAGAGGTAGGAACTTTTTATCTTTAAAGATAGAAATTTGTGTGAATGGCATATATACATTAGTATTGTTACTATACTCTTCAAGGGATAGGGTCCCTTGGTGTGGTAAGGGACTCTTGATCCGAAGAATTAGACCTTTTGTCTCCTTCCTTGAATTGATTCTTGATTGCCCTCTACCCCCCTCCCCTCCTTGTTTTTTTTTTTTTTTTCAACAAGTCGGCCGTCTCCCACCGAGGCAGGGTGACCCAAAAAAGAAAGAAAATCCCCAAAAAGAAAATGCTTTCATCATCATTCAACACTTTCACCACACTCACACATTATCACTGGTTTTGCAGAGGTGCTCAGAATACAACAGTTTAGAAGCATATACGTACGTATAAAGATACACAACATATCCCTCCAAACTGCCAATATCCCAAACCCCTCCTTTAAAGTGCAGGCTCATAGGTTGAAATGTAAAGGTATCGTTGTCTGTCCCATTCTGCTGAGACCCCTTCATGTTGATGGTGTTTGCCATTGGAACTAGATAATCTAGGGATGTGCTGAGCTGGTGTCTAGAGTTATGGAGAGTGGCTTCATGTGTCTTTGGGTAACAAGAGTATCTTGCAGGCTGTTTATTGGTTCTGGGAAGTGGTAGGCAAAGGGGGTTATGACTTTTGGCAGGTTACTGATTGCTTTTCGCTTTTGTTGGCCAAGGTGGCTCAGTGGATGTGAGGTTACCGTCCTGAATTGCTGGTTTACTGGCATGAAGGGTAGGGTAGGGAGTCCTTTCTGTGCAGCATCGACACTACTTGGTGAGACGAAGGTACTCTTGGACAAGGAGAATGACATACAATCTTTGTTTCTCCCCGGAGCTGTTGTCTACCCCCTACCAATTTCTAGAAAAAAAAATTAATTCATGCATAGTCCAGTTCATAATTTGCCTATTTTCCTCTTCCCCAGCCTCTTACCCCTGGAGCATCCTGACCTACCCATGGACCTTCCTTGCAACCCAGCTTCACCCACATGACACATTGATTTTTGAATCAGCCACTTGCCACAACAGGACAGATTGGCTTGATATCAACATCTGAATGCCCTCAGCCCATACTTGATGATGCCAGTGCTATCACTGACATTCCTTCTTCCTGCAACCCTAAGAAACATACCTGGAAACATATTCCCCCTCACTCTATTACAGTGACCATCTTAGACAAAACCTTCTTTTCAGCTGATGACACCTGCTGATTACCTTACTGACCATGCCATTAGCAAAGCAGTCACGACACATGTAGGTCAAACTGTGTCCCTTCATGCCTTCAAGAGTAGGATGCACATTGTCACTGTGAATGATGCTGAGTAAGCTGCCAGTCTTTCCCTTCAATCTTTTGATGACAACCCTGTCACTAAGCACAGACTTTCCATTCTCAGTTTTAGCTGTGGTTCTTCCCTCATCTTATATATCATTATCTAACAAGATTTTTTGCAATATGGCCTGGATATTCAGGAGCAGCTTGAGCTCAAGTACCTACTAGTCACTAAGGTGGAAACTTAATCCACCCTGCCTGGAGTTGGAGATTTGATCCTAGAAACATTGCTAAACTAACCTTCAACTGCTGGGAGCTTCCAGCTTCTGTTTATATAGCACACCAATACTTACAGGTGCTCCAAACAGTTGCTCCCCACACCTCAACAATGTAGATATTGCTGGCGCTTGGCCACCCTGCCAGGTATTGTAGATCACTGGTGGAATTCCTGGTCTGTAGTGCAACATATCATAATCCTTCCTGTGGCCTGCCTCTCACTTGCTTTAACTCCAGTGAAGTTCACCCTGTGTATTCCCACTGATGCCCACTTTACTTGAGAAAATGTGAAATCTGTTGTTTCAAGGAAAAGGAGAACCTTTCATATGCTATGTCAGTGACTACTCCATTTTCAAGAAAGACCTCATGGCTCTCCTACTCCAGAATGCCTCAGCATTCTCATGTTCCTGTTGTACCCTCTTCTATAGTCACCCCTGTGTTTAACCCTTTTGCAGTCCTTGCTGACATTCCCACCTCTTTGCCGTAACGCATTTCTTCCCACTTTGTCTTCCTCCATTTCCTTGATTCTCCTTCAACACAGCTTTTCTCAGGTGCACTTTCATCTCTTCCTCCAAAACTCCCTTGCAACTTCTTGCTCCTCTATGCTTAACTTTCCCCACCCTCTGTGACTTCCCCATTGCCTCCTCCATCTGTCACATTTGTGGATATACATCCGCCCTCACTTATGTCTGCTATTTCCCTGTCTCCATCCAGATTCCTTTCTTTCAGGACCCCTCCCTTTTCTGTCTCCTGTGGTTTTAATACCTCCAAGATCTCTACAATGGGCTAGTAACCCCTTTTCCTGTAATAATTACTAAAAAGAATAAGAAGAAAACTGTCAAAGTGGAAATCTGAATGTGTGTGGATGTTGTGCAAATGATAAGAAAGAGATGATTGTGGATGTTATGAATGAGAAGAAGCTGGATGTCCTGGCTTTAAGTGAAACAAAGCTGAAGGGGGTGGGAGAGTTTCAGTGGAGAGGAATAAATGGGATTAGGTCGGGGGTTTCAAATAGAGTTAGAGCTAAAGAAGGAGTAGCAATAATGTTGAAGGATAAGTTATGGCAGGAAAAGAAGGACTATAAATGTATTAATTCAAGGATTATGTGGAGTAAAATAAAGGTTGGATGTGAAAAGTGGGTTATAGTAAGCTCATATGCACCTAGAGAAGAGAGAAGTGTAGAGGAAAGAGAGAGAGAGAGATTTTGGGAAATGTTGAGTGAATGCATGGGGAGTTTTGAACCAAGTGTGAGAGTAATGGTGGTTGGGGATTTCAATGCTAAAGTGGGCAAAAATGTTGTGGAGGGAGTAGTAGGTAAATTTGGGGTGCCAGGGGTAAATGAAAATGGGGAGCCTTTAATTGAGCTATGTGTAGAAAGAGGTTTGGTAATAAGTAATACATATTTTATGAAGAAGAGGATAAATAAATATACAAGGTATGATATAGCACGTAATGAAAGTAGTTTGTTAGACTATGTATTGGTGGATAAAAGGTTGATGGGTAGGCTCCAGGATGTACACGTTTATAGAGGGGCAACTGATATATTGGATCATTATTTACTTGTAGCTACAGTTAGAGTAAGAGGTAGATGGGAAAAGAGGAAAATGGCAACAACCAGCAAGAGGGAGGTGAAAGTGTATAAACTAGGGAGGAGAAAGTTTGGGTGGATATAAGCAAATATTTCGAAAGTGGGCAGGTGCAAGTATGAGTAGTGGGGGGGGGGGGGGGTTGAAGAGGGTTGGGATAGTTTTAAAAATGCAGTATTAGAATGTGGGGCAGAAGTTTTGTGGTTATAGGAGGGTGAGTGCAGGAGAAAGAGGAGTAATTGGTGGAATGATGAAGTAAAAGGTTGATAAAAATGAAACAAGTTTAGCATATGAGAGGTTTTTACAAGCAGAAGTGTGTTATTAGAAGGAGTAGAGTCTATGGAGAGTAAAAGAAAGGTGAAGAGAAAAGGTGGTGAAGAAAGTGCAAAAGGAGTAGCTGATGATGAGTGGAGAGCACTGTCAAGAAATTTTAATGAAAAATAGAAATAAAATTAGAGTGAGTATATACAAGTTAATAAAGTAGAGGAACGAATGGATTGTCAGTTAAAACAGTGTAGGGGAGTTAGTAGATGGAGAGATGGAGGTTTGGGGTAGATGGCGAGAATATTTTGAAGGAACTTTTAAATGTGAGAAGAAAGGGAAGTGTATTTATGATGGCCAGGGAGGTATACCAGCTGATGTGAGGTGGGGGAGGTGCGTGAGGCATTACGTAAAATGATAGGGGGTAAGCAGTGGAACTGATGGAGTATGACAGAATGTTAAAGCAGGGGATATGTGTTGGAGTGGATGGATTTTTGTTTAATAATGTTTGGGTATTGCAGTTTGGAGGGATATGTTGTGTATTTTTTATATGTCGTATGCTTCTAGACTGTTGTATTCTGGGAGCACTCTGCAAAATACAGTGATAATGTGAGTGTGGTGAAAGTGTTGAATGATGGATGAAAGTATTTTCTTTTGGGATTTCTTTTTTGGGTCACCTGCTCGGTGGAGTGGGCGACTTGTTGAAAAAAAAAAATGTATAAAAGAGGGGAAGGTACCTAGGGATTGGCAGAGAGCATGTATAGTCCCTTTATATAAAGGGAAGGGGGACAAAAGAGATTGTAAAAATTATAGAGGAATAAGTTTACTGAGTATACCAGGAAAAGTGTATGGTAGGGTTATAATTGAAAGAATTAGAGGCAAGACAGAATGTAGGACTGCAGATGAGCAAGGAGGTTTCAGAGTGGGTAGAGAATGTGTAGATCAAATGTTTACATTGAATCATATATGTGAACAGTATTTAGATAAAGGCAGGGAAGTTTTTATTGCATTTATGGATTTAGAAAAGACATATGATAGAGTGGATAGGGGAGCAATGCGGCAGATGTTGCAAGTATATGGAATAGGTGGTAACTTACTAAATGCTGTAAAGAGTTTTTATGAGGATAGTGAGGCTCAGGTTAGGGTGTGTAGAAGAGAGAGAGACTACTTCCCAGTAAAAGTAGGTCTTAGACAGGGATGTGTAATGTCACCATGGTTGTTTAATATATTTATAGATGGGGTTGTAAAAGAAGTAAATGCTAGGGTGTTCAGGAGAGGGGTGGGATTAAATTATGGGGAATTAAATACAAAATGGGAATTGACACAGTTGCTTTTTGCTGATGATACTGTGCTTATGGGAGATTCTAAAGAAAAATTGCAAAGGTTAGTGGATGAGTTTGGTAGAAAGTTGAAAGTGAACATAGAAAAGAGTAAGGTGATGAGGTTATCAAATGATTTAGATAAAGAAAAATTGGATATCAAATTGGGGAGGAGTATGGAAGAAGTGAATGTTTTCAGATGGCGGATGGATTTATGAAGGATGAGGTTAATCATAGAATTGATGAAGGAAAAAAATTGAGTGGTGCGTTGAGGTATGTGTGGAGGCAAAAAACATTATCTATGGAGGCAAAGAAGGG